ACCCCAGAGACTGTTCGGTTTTCCGGAATGATAACTCTTTAGGTTTTTCTGTGAATTTTTCTCTATATAAAAAGAGTTCAACTCATGAGTTTTTAATTAATCAATACAAAATAGGGGTGAACATTAGGGGTTGTATGTATTTTTGTATGTTATATCACAAAAAAAATTGTCTAAGAAATAAAAAAATTTTTTTTGTTGTTTTTATTAAATTTTATTAGGGCTGGTGGGTGGTTTAGCGTGCGGATAAAAAATAGATGTTTTCCAATTCGCTGACCTAACCGACTTGCACACGATATTTCACGAAAATAGGTCGAGATATTTCAGAGGAGTTTAGTTACCGTGACACGAGAATTTTACATATCGCACTCTGCTTGCTTATATATGTCACCGTAAAATTGTAAACACCGTTAGATTGTAATCTACCTCGCGAGATTGTAAACTGTCGAAAGATTGTGAACCTCAGCGTACTGCTTACAATTTAACGTATTATTTTTCGGTACCGTCAAATTGTGAAACGGATCGCACCTCGCGCGCTGATTGAACGGAATATGCCCCGCAATATAACAAACAAATATGGTGGCGCGGGGCATATTCCGTTTAACCAATCAGCGCGCGAGGTGCGATCCGTTTCACAATTTGACGGTTTCACTTCGATAGATTACAATCTACCGAATAATAATACGTAAAATTGTAAGCAGTTCGTTGAGGTTCACAATCTTTCGACAGTTTACAATCTCGCGAGATAGATTACAATCTAACGGTGTTTACAATTTTACGTTAACATATAAATATAACATCATCACACATGTAAAGCTGTTGCTGACGCAATCTATTGCCGGAAAATTGTTATTTGATTTAAATTAAAATTATCTTAAAAAAATATAAAAACCTAATATTGTAACTGCAGTTAATAATCTTGTTAATTGAACTTAACTTACTAGGTTGAGGAAGACACTTTTTCTTAATAATTTTTGGCTTCTTGGGCACAGGTAGTGTTTTAACATCCTTTATTTCCTCAACTTGTTTTGTTTCCGGCTTGACAGATAACGGATTCATTTCTTTTTTAATATCACCTGGAATTTATTTAATAATTATTTTCACTTTATATAAGAACAATCTTAGTAGGTAGGCCTGACACACCATTTTTTTGGGTTTAAGACATGCCTGTTTCATCACTATGTTTTTATTTAGGGGCCGTTCAAGTAATAATTTACTTTTTTACACATATTACTCACACATTATCTATGGGAGCGTTCAAGTATTACTTAACGAATTTTGGGAGGGGGGGTCCTCTTGTAAAACGTTACGATGCGGGGCGGGGATTGAATTAAGCGTTATTTTTAATATTATTTTCGACTTTCCAGTACTTAATTGTAACTTTTAGGTGTAAAGAGTCAATGGGTGGTCACGAAACGTTTTACTATACTTGGGTACATAAAAACCTTACTGCGCGTTACGTGGGGGGGTCAATAATCTCCAAAAATTGCGTGACGTAATACTTGAACGCTTCCTATACTTGGAAACGAAATGCATTTTCGAGGATTCCTACAAAAATTAATAGGTTTATGTACTATTATTTTTGAGAGCTTTGCTTACTTTTGCTGACAAGAACGGCACCTTACTGTATCAGCAAGTGCTACATGTGCACATTGAAAGTCCATTGGCATAGCCGGGGCTCTCTTAAGGATGAGAGTTGCATGCTGAAGCCACTAGGCCACTGCTCTTAATTAATAAAAGTTATATTTTATTTGTTTACTTTGTAGCATTACAAATCCATGTCTTATACTCACTGAGAGGTATATCTTCAATGTCCAATGTTGGTGATGGAGATCTATCATCTTCTTCTAAATGTTCAGTCTTGACCTCCAATTTTGGTGGCTCCAATGGTTGTTCTATAAATAGTAAAAATTAATAAAAAACCTTCATAAGTAGTTACTTAGTTTGTTTGTTTTTAGCCTGTAAACTTAGTAGGTTTTATTGAAATACACAATTGTCATATTGTACACAAAGGAAAATCCACACAGAAGTGAATATGATTTAAGTGTCTGAAATTATAAATATTTAAACATATGAACACACTAAACTAGACTAGTGTAGTTTATTACATATAGTGTTTAGAAATATATATAATATAGTAAGTTACTTAGATATACAGTAGAACTCGAATTATTCGAACTCCGACTATCCGAATCGCCGATTATCCGATCCGTGACCTGGCTGCCCGAAAACGGTTGAAGACCGCAAAACAGCTTACATTGACGGAGATGTTTAAAAAACAATGATTTTTATTTCTAAACTTGTACATAAGTACATTTTATTTATATTTAAAACATGTGAAAATTTCATGTTTCTTTCATTTAATTCAATAAAAAAATAGTGCAATATCAAAACGTAGCTTTTATTCACTCCAATGGCAATTTTTTTTTTAAAAATCCGACTATCCGAATATTTGATTATCCGAATGGGTCCCGGTCCCCATTAATTCGGATAATTGGAGTTCTACTGTAGTAATAATATTGATTAAATTATTGCAGTATTAAATTTATAAAACTAAACTAAATTTACAGTAATAAAATGATATTGTTTCTTTTATATCAAATCTGCAGCAATAGTAACTTTACCAATGTTAAAATGAATTACAAACTCTTAGTTTCCACCACATAAATTGAAAAGATAAATACTTAACTAGAAAGTGATAACCTTCATCTTTTAAAAGAGGTTTTTCAACAGACTAAATTATTTTAACTAATACAGGCCTTAATTTATGAGGTATTAGAAACTTACCAGCATCTTCAGCATCATAAATCTTTGCCCGTAAAAATGCCTCTTCACATTTTAGTATTTGTTGTCGGAAATCACATGCATCTCTTATTCGATGTACACAAACCGCACAAACAAGACGATCAGCCATTACACTATCAAGCTGCGATAACTGAAAGATGATCATATATTAAATGAGGAAATTGTATGGATGCATATTATGTATATAATACTAACAAGGTTTTAGCTGTAACATATATTTCTATATGTTCATATTCTCTACTTAGTACTTTTATGGCAGAAATATGTTATAGCTATGTGAGAGTTTTATAAAAGGGTTAACATAGATTTTGTGTTAAGTTCTTTTTATCCAATCCCATAATATATAACAGTTTTAGTAGTCAATTTACTAGAAATTTTCATTCTACAAATATTTAAACAAAAAAAATAATAGCAATAAGAATAATTATCCCCTATTTTTTTTTTATTCTAGCAGTAGTAGAACTTTCAATTTATTCTGAGAAAAATAGGGGCTTTAAGTAAAAAATATTTATAATATGAATTTTGTTTGTAATAGAAATCAATTCCAAAATAGATTGGCACATGCCCTAGAGAGCTTTATTAATAGCTTTATTAATAAGCTTTATAATAAGTATAGTATATATAGTTAATACTTGAAAGGCAACTCACTAATAAGCCAAAGCAATCCATGATCATATCAGAATACACCTCATTCTTCCCAAAACTATTATATTCAACGTTTAGAACTCTACATTTCTTCATTGATCCGCAACAACGACATATGCCCGAGTCGATTACGGGTCCCTTGCCCTTTTTTGCACTCATATTGATATCCTTAAACCACTACATTTATAATTGAATAATAAAAACGAAAAAGGTTTTTAAAACATTAATTGTTTTAGTTTAAAAATGCAATAGCCGTAAGCCGTAAGAAAGTACAGTCAACAGTGATGAGTGAACTGTGAACTTAAAGTTTACTAGTTAACTGACAGCACAACAGTCAACAGTCAACACAGGAATACATAAAAAATGTGTCAATGTCAGCTGTCACTAAATAATCCACCTACTATATTCCAACATACATCGACACAGACTACTAAAATAATATACTCTATATAAATCAACACCAATAAAACTAAAAACCATCATAAATATTATATTGAAATAAGAAAAAATTCATAGCATTAAAATGCTACAGGAAACAACATTTATTTATTATATTTAATTCATTATTCAGTTAATAACGCCCTGATAAATTATTCCATATATATAAAGCATTGTAATTTTATATTTGATGTGCTTGTACACGACGTTCACAGCCTCTACTGCTGTTCTCCCGCTATTATTCAATGTATGTAAAATTTGTAAACATACTGGGTGTTGGGGCCGATTTACATTATCTTAGTGTTTAGCAGAGTGCTTTCGGATAGTACTTTAGTTGAAACATGTAAACGCTACTTGCCTTTCAAGTTGAATCAAAATAGAATCTCTTTTTATTTTTGTTTCAAGTGATACCCCTCCCGCGCTCGCGCAACCCCCGAGATCTTCCCTCGTTGTGTGTAACACTAACACGACACACGTAATTTAGTAAAATCTTTAGGAGAGTGCACAAGTGCCGTGAAACGCGTGCGTGTTTTTTGATTTTTAAAGATGGCTAAATGGTCGGAAGATAAAACTATCAAATTTGTGTCTGAATATGTTGTTCACGAATGTTTGTGGAACGTTAAAAACAATTTATACAAAAACAAACAGGCTAGGCATTCGACATACACTGCCTTAAAAGAAGCTATTTTATTTATTATTTATATTTAGTTTATTTATTTCGAATAAAATCTATTTGTTCCATAACTACAGTTAGTATTTTGCGTAAAATAGAGCGTATTTGCCGACGTCGTCGTTGCGCGTTCATTGTGCCGCTGTAATGATACTCTACTGGAAGAAATGTAAACGTTCACTCGCAACGCACTAAAGCACTAAAGAACTTGCCTTTCAAGTTGTACTAAAATACTCTCCTAAACACTAAGATAATGTAAATCGGCCCTTATACATGTACACTTGAAATAGTTCTAAATTCCAAGTAATATATAAGCTCTTATATAAAAAGAAACAAATTTAATTTTCGTACTATGTATTTCTCAAGAATACTCTACGACTTTATTGCTCACGTGTATATTGTATAATATTAAAAGGTACTAAATCAAAAGCCAGTATCATTATATTTAACTGACAGGTGTCAAAAATGGCTCGCTGTCACCTTCCATACCGCCGTGTTGCCGCTTAACATGACTTTTTAAATAAAAATTCTTCGTAAACGCAGCATTGCACAGCATACATTTATGTTTTTTCTCTGTGCCGTGCGCACTTTGCACGTGCACTTTCAGGCCCCTTAATCTAGGATAACTTTTCCCACAAAATTCACACCGAAAATTCCGTTCGCCAGTATGGCTTGTCATGACGTGTTCCTTTAACCTTGACGGTAAATAGAACAGTTTGTCGCACATCATACAGGCGTGTCTTAATATTTTTAAGTGCGTCCGTCTGATATGCTCCCTTAGGGACTTTCTACTGTCATAAGACCTGTCACATTGATCGCACTTAAATAATCGCTCTTCGCCATGATAATCGATCATATGCCGATATCTTAATGTATATGAGAAAAACACTTCGTCGCATTTACGACACTGGTACGCAGACTCCTTTTTGTGAGTGCGTGCTATGTGTATGTATCTAGTATATTTAGATTTAAAATTCTTCCCGCACTCTTTACAATTGAAAACTTCATCTACACGTTGATGTGTTTTTTGGTGTAAAATTAACATTCTCTCCTCAAAATAATGCGCGCCGCATACATCACAAATACAAGTTCCAAAATGTTCCGCCATATGCTTTTTCAACGCGTGAAAAAAACCAAAGGTCTTGCCACATTCGAGACAGCACAAATTGTCTAATTTCAATTTGAACTTCAGGAAATCATCTTCTATATTGTGAATTGTCATTCCGTGTGACGTGATATGGCTTTTGAAAACGTCAATGTCACTAATCACTTCAGCGCACAGACGACAGTCAATTCTGTCAATATCAATTTGAATCTTTTTATTCATAGAGTAGTTTGTAACAATTTCTTTGAATGTCTTTGGATTGTGTGTCAATGTATGTTCGCGTAGTTTATTTGGATTTGTAAAAACTACTCTGCAATACATACAAAAGTAGTCACTGAAAGATGTATCAAATGGACATACGTATGAATTTTCAACAATGGTAACAATATTGTCTATTAACTTGTCATAGTCTTGTGATTTTGTTTCCTTCTCTGGTGGCGGATCTGAAACAATATAAGCCAAACACTTAAACAGATTATTTCGAAACATAATTCTGTAAGCTAAGTCAGGCTTAATATTTACATGTAGACTTGGAAAAAAAAAACACTCATAATTGATTCATATTACGGAATCATTTTTGGATTTGATTATTTGTCTAGTCTAAATTAAAAAAAAATGCGTTTTCATTACGATTGCTTTCAGGATGTAGCCAACAGAATAACAATTACCTTACACAAACCAATTATTTGGACGTTTAATTCTTGAGCCCATGTGTTTAGTACACATGGGCTCTGAAACAAGAACAAAATCCCGAACTCACCAGCATACTGCAACTCCTCCATTGTATGTACGTCTATCTCTTTTGAAACATCTTCTTTATTGTCTTTATGTCTTTTCTTTTTGAGACTTTTTTTTCTTCTTCACAGGAACTTCTGGTTCTATATCTGTAATTGGTTAATAGATTTTTATACACAATATGCACCATTTATAACAAATAAACATTTATATAAAATACAGTGTACTAGCAATATCTGAAATGTGCGCCTTCATCTAATCCTGAATCACTTGAATATATATATACAACATCTAAGAATTAACTCAGGGGGCTTAATAAACTTGATTGACTTATTGCTTGGAGAAAGTGCGCAGGTTTCGTTTCCTTTAGAAGACTTTACAATTATTTTAAAACATGATTTTTAAATTGAATTGTCTTCTTTCATTAGTGCATATTTCAAGAGATTAAATTACCAAGTAATAAGTTATACTTGAATCATGTTTGTTGTGTTGAGTTTAATTTTTTCAACCATATTTATTTATATTCTTACCATAGCTATCATCTACAACTGCATCATCATCCGGAGTAATTTCATTTACTTCCTCTTTTATATCAAGTTTTAGATCATGACAATCTGAAAATGGTTACATAATTTATTACAGCCTACCTTAAACACCCTATGCTCTGCAATATATTCTTAGTATTGTTAAATAATGTCAAAGTAATAGCAATAGCTAAGCCATTTTACTAATTGTAATTATAAAGTTGTTTATAAGTGTTAATTCGACACAAAATTGGTCTATTTTAGACAAGTGTTTTAAAATGAGTTTTTCTGTTAATAATATAGCCAATGAATAGTTGTCAACCAAAATGTTTTAGATTTCATTCCCCAGAAATAAGATTCAGGACTAAGGAAAGCCATTGTAAAAAAGTTGTCTTGATGGATAATAAATGTATAACTAGAATTTGACTAACCATTAAGCCTTAAAGTAAGCAGCCTCTCTTCACACTTAAGTACCTGTATCCGAAAACTATTTGCTTCCCGCAATCGTGATACACACATTGCACAAATCAGACGTTCTTTGGGATCACCATCCAGTTGAGACAACTGAAATTATATTTACAAGTTGATGAACAGTTTTTATTAAAAGGTGTTGTTGCTGGTTAGTCTTGTTTCTTGTTATGTACCTGATAAATCTGTTTTTATGATAATTTTTCCTAACATCTACATTTTGTACTTTATTTTTATAAACAAAAGCTAGAAAACTTTTTCTTAAAATGTAACTTTAGCGAGACGAGACTTAATTTGTTCATAACATTTAATTTTATTTGTTTCCTTATTTCCTATTTTTCCTAATTTATAGTAGTACTTACTAAAAGACCAAAACAATCCACAAATAAATCGGAGTAAATCTCTTTTTGGCCCTTGTGATCATATTCCACATTTAATAGTCGACATTTCTTCATTTCGCCACAGCATCTACAGAAACCTGGGTCGTAAATAGGACCCTTTTTAGTCTCACTCAGGCTTGTCATTGCACTGAAATTACTATATGTTACAAATACGGAATTATAAAGATTTTATTACTAAATATAGTTTTCTTTTTATTTGTTATTGATGTAACTACAGACTACAGAGTAAACAGCACAGACTAACAAGATTCAAACATACTTTACAGACTAATTAGAAAATACTTTTAATGAGATTAACATTACAAATAACGAATCGTAATGTCGTAGCTGTTTACCAACTGTTTCCTAAATATTAATGTAATATAAAACGTTTTCTTCAAAGTCTGCCCGATTTAAATAGATCTAGATTCTAGATGGACATCATTGGCTAAGGCTTAATGAATTTTTTGTATACATATTTTATATTCATGACCTTTCTCTAGGCATTGTCTGTGGTCGAAGGAGTGAAGAGCCGCTGGCGGCTGGCGTCTTTTATTTCGTAAATTTTAAAAATATTTTTATTTCTAGTTGTGTCAATTCAACAGAAACAATGTTAAAATAGAACTTTTCACTGTATGATATAGTGCATTATGGCGTTAATTAAAAATAATGGGCCTATTGTGGACCCAGCGCTTTGCCGATGCTGTAGAGCTATCAAAAAATGCAGAATACTTACTGCCGAGTATACTTGGATGGAAAAGAAGGAAATTTATGCGGATATGGTCATGGATTGCTTTGGTATTGTGGTAAGTGAACATCATATTACTAAAAATTTTACTCATTATTGTTTATTTATGAGTATTATTCAACAATGTCTATTTTAATTCAGAAGATAGAGGTAAATACATTTCATTTACTTAATATTTTTATTATATTATTTTCTATATTAGATTTACCAAATTAATTATATTTATAAACTAAAACTCTACTAATAGTTAGTAAAACACAAAAATATAATATATATAGACTTCTACCCCTTTAAGTATTATACTATTTCCTTAACAGTAATCTTGTGTATTAAATGTCTCTCAGAACATGATACAAGCTTTGCAGTTGTTACTTAAAAACCTTGGCAGTGTTTTAAAAGTAATGTAAGAAATGCTAATGACCGTTTGTTGTCTTCTGAAACTGAGTTACTCATAAATTTTGTTGAAAGAAAACATTACTTTACACTGCATGTTGTGTGCCATATCGCTTAATAAGATGTAACTTCTTAAACAATAAAAATCCTCAATAAAATTAATTTAGTAATTTAGAATATATACAAAAAATATCTGATTGAAGTAAATATTAACCATCATCAATTGTCTTGTGTATTTGTTCTGTACACCTATTAAGCTACTGCAGAGAAAGTTTTTAGGCAATGCCTGATGATTGTTAATCTAATTGACTGAATCTGGCTGGCCCATACATGCTTCAAAACAAAAGAGATGACCATCCCGAAATGAAAAATGATGACTTTTCATGTTGATATTATTTTATGACTGATGATAGTAATTTTGGAAAAAAAGATAGTAATATACAGATATTGTGAGCGGTAACTATAACTCCAATAACAATACATACTTCAATATTGGGTTGTGCCATGCAATTTTAAGTTTGGATTATCAGCAATATACAAGAGCTATATTTAATTGGAAGTTTCAGGGTTGTGCCTTCACTTAGCACTTTTATGTGCCATTAATTGTAATGTTTTCCCGTTTGATTCTTACTTTTATGGTCACATTTAACATAATTCAAATAAAAAAATGAACATAAACCATATTTCTAGGTGTAATTTTGCAATTTTTTTTAAAGATTTGATCACTATCTGCTATAAGTACTACTATATACCAATAATGGTTGGTGGACTCAGTTTCCGCACTTAGACTCCCATTAGGTCTGTTGTGCGTACTACTATATGCCAAGTACAGCAATGCACTTTTAAGCTATGGGCAATGTGAATGTCTACGGACATTGGCAAGAGAGGCCTGCCTGTTCAAAAAGAAATAGTTATTTGAACTGCAACAGCATGTTTATTATGTAGCAATTTTGATATTTGAGTTTCCTTCCCATCAAAGGTGCTACATCAAAACTGGTTCTTGTTTAATAACATCGGGGCTCCTTTTTATTAGATACCAATACCACTGAAACAATTGAGGCTGCAATGATTAAATTCTATGTTTTTGAACTATTACAGCTCTCTCACGTTGATGGCGAAGACAAGGATTCTGGAGTGTGTGCTACCTGTGTTGTTCGCTTGCGTGATGCGTGCGCGTTCAGGCAACAAGTGCTCCAATGTGAAGAGCTGTTTCTAAGTGCTAAGCTTGAAGATAAAGATGGTAGGTTAAAATACCTAAAAGGAATTATTTCGGTATATTCTAGAACAACAGTTAGCAGATGATTCCAAGGTCACCTCATGATAATAATTATTTAATAAGTCTGCGAAGTCTTTGAAGAGACGTTTGTGGTCTATGGCTGACAATAAATTAGAGATATTTTGTGTGTTATATTACAATAAAAAACGTGTGGCACTCGGGGAGTGACGCGTCTTGCTGTCAATTGCTTGAACTTATTTCTTTATGGAACAGGGTGCAAACGGGCAGGAGGCTCACCTGATGTTAAGTGATACCGCCGCCCATGAACACTCAATGCCAGAGGGTTCGCGAGTGCGTTGCCTTTTAAAGAATTGATACGCTATTTTCTTGAAGGACCCTAAGTCGAATTGGTTCGGAAATACCTACCACCTATGGACGCTCAATGCAAGAGGGCTCGCAAGTGCGTTGCCGGCCTTTTAAGAATTGGTAGGCTCCTTGACCTAAGTCGAATTGGTTCCGAAATACCTACAGCCTATGGACACTCAATGCCAGAGGGTTCGCGAGTGCGTTGCCGGCCTTTTAGGAATTGGTAGGCTCCTTGACCTAAGTCGAATTGGTTCCGAAATACCTACAGCCTATGGACACTCAATGCCAGAGGGTTCGCGAGTGCGTTGCCGGCCTTTTAAGAATTGGTAGGCTCCTTGACCTAAGTCGAATTGGTTCCGAAATACCTACAGCCTATGGACACTCAATGCCAGAGGGTTCGCGAGTGCGTTGCCGGCCTTTTAGGAATTGGTAGGCTCCTTGACCTAAGTCGAATTGGTTCCGAAATACCTACAGCCTATGGACACTCAATGCCAGAGGGTTCGCGAGTGCGTTGCCGGCCTTTTAGGAATTGGTAGGCTCCTTGACCTAAGTCGAATTGGTTCCGAAATACCTACAGCCTATGGACACTCAATGCCAGAGGGTTCGCGAGTGCGTTGCCGGCCTTTTAGGAATTGGTAGGCTCCTTGACCTAAGTCGAATTGGTTCCGAAATACCTACAGCCTATGGACACTCAATGCCAGAGGGTTCGCGAGTGCGTTGCCGGCCTTTTAGGAATTGGTAGGCTCCTTGACCTAAGTCGAATTGGTTCCGAAATACCTACAGCCTATGGACACTCAATGCCAGAGGGTTCGCGAGTGCGTTGCCGGCCTTTTAGGAATTGGTAGGCTCCTTGACCTAAGTCGAATTGGTTCCGAAATCCCTACAGCCTATGGACACTCAATGCCAGAGGGTTCGCGAGTGCGTTGCCGGCCTTTTGGGGAATTGGTAGGCTCCTTGACCTAAGTCGAATTGGTTCCGAAATACCTACAGCCTATGGACACTCAATGCCAGAGGGTTCGCGAGTGCGTTGCCGGCCTTTTAGGAATTGGTAGGCTCCTTGACCTAAGTCGAATTGGTTCCGAAATACCTACAGCCTATGGACAGTCAATGCAGATGCCTCGCAGGTGCGTTGCCGGCCTTTTAAGAAGTAGTACGCACTTTTCTTGAAGGACCCTAAGTCGAATTGGTTCGGAAATACTTCAGTGGGCAGCTGGTTCGATATAGTGGTGATACCTGCCTTAAAAAACGCTCAGTTGTGGAAAGACGGATGTCGAGGTGATACGGATGGAATTTCGTATTCTGCCTCGAGGTCCGAACCACCAACGAACGTTGTTCATGTAAAAATAACTTTCAGAAACAAAGAAGTTGGCTGAGATGGTTGAGTTTGAATTAAAAACGGAGCCGAAAGATGATGGCAGTGACCACAATGAAGATGATGTTATACGAATGGAACCACAAGTGTTGGCAGAACTGCCTTTAGAAGGTATGAACACACATTTTATTCATTTACAGAAAATACATACTAAACGAATACAATAATGTCGAAATTAAGCAAGGAATTTGGCTAAACTAGCAATAAGAATGCATATCGTAGCTTCGGGCCGTTCTTGTATTACGTAAGCACTATGGGGGGGATTTGATTTTCTTATTTGGTGATGACGTCAACAATAATTATTTACTTTTTTCACACATATTACCCACACATTGTCTATGCTTGAAAACGAAATGCATTTTCGAGGATTCCTACAAAAAATTAATACGTTTATGTACTATTTTTGAGAGCTTTGCTTACTTTTGCTGACAAGAGGAAGGGGGTAGGGGGGGGATAAATTGCGGTAAATCTGCTTACGTAATACTTGAACGGCCCCTTCGCCTAATACATTAAGAACCGCCTTTATTATTCACCCCCCTCCATGTAACGCGCCGTAACGTTTTTCTGTACCAAATAGCAAAACGTTTCGTGACCACCCAGTGACTCTTTTTACTTAAAAGTCACCGGGTGGTCATCGTACGTAAGTACACATGTTTTTTTTAAATGGATCCACGAACTTTTTGGGCTTACTAGAAAAATACACCAATAATAAAAATACCCTGTTTCATTTTACAATACACAACAATTCTAAGTATTCCCGTGGGAATTAATATTTAATTGATTACAGATACAAAACAACCGAAGGAAGAAATAATGGAAGCTAAAGATGAAATAGCTAAGATTAATGATTCAGCTAATGATGATGATTTTAATGATGCGGATTATAATGATATTGATAATTGTTCGGACTCATCGTCGAATTCGGATAAACCGATTAAGAGGAGGAAAGAGAAGAAGCCCAAGAGCGGGATAAAGAAGAAGATTCAGAAGAAAGTTAAAACGAAGAAGAAAGGTAAGAGGAGTGATTTTTTAATAGAATAGGGGGCAAACGGGTAGGTAGGCTCATCTGATGGTAAGTCATGGAGACTCAATGGCAGAGGACTCGCGAGTGCGTTGCCGGGCTTTAAAGCATTGATACGCTCTCTGAAGGACTCTCAGTCGAATTGGTTCGGAAATACCTTCCGCCCATGAACACTCTTATAACAGAGGGCTTACCATTGCGTTTTCAGCCTTTAAAAATTGGTATGCTCTTTTCTTGAAGGACCCTAAGTCGAAATGGTTTGGAAATACTTGTGGCCGCGCTCTTACGCCTGTTGCCTCCTTCACAATTTATCTGAATATACCAATAAGTAATACAAAAAAGTGTTAATCGAATGTCATAATGTTCACAGTTCATAATGAATGTTCACAGAATCGAAGAAACTAAAAGAATTGAAGAAACCACCAGTGGAAAAGAAGAATAATCACGACAGAGACTTGGACTGTATGTCTGAAGAGAATTTGCTCACAATAATCCAATATTCCTTTGTGTGTCCCTTTAAAAATCGTCGCAATAACTATTACTGCTTCTATTGCAAGGATTATTATCCGAAACCTGAAGATTTGAGAGAGCACACAGTGTCCCATGACACAAAACCGTTCCAACTCCTCATGGGATATAAGAAAATGCCAAAACTTGACATAACAAGAATTGACTGCCGTCTCTGTCCAGCAAAAATCAATGATTTAGAAACATTCAAGCGACACATTGATCAAGATCATGGAAAGAAGATTTACTTTGAGGCCCCCGACAAAATGCTCCTATACCGGTTGACATGGAACGATCTTGTGTGTGTTATGTGCAGTGACGTGTTTGAGGACTTTAATACGTTGAACACCCATATGGTGGAACATTTTAGTAACTTCACCTGTGATATTTGTGGTATGTGCTTCCTTGAGAAGGCAAGATTGGACGCTCACTTGAAAAGACACAAGGATGATGAACGGCACACATGTGAAATATGTGGTAAAGTGTTCAAATCAAACCATTATAAAGACATGCATGTGGATATAGTTCATAAGAAGATAGCAATAATAAGATGCCCCAGGTGCGATGAGTGTTTCATGTCATATGCCCTGAAGAACAAACATTTGACCGAAGCACACGGACAGAAGAGGACATACCCATGCAATTTGTGTGATAAAGTCTATAACCGACAGAAGACACTGACAGAACATCAGAGAAGGAATCACCAGAAGGTTTTGAAGCACCAGTGCGAGTATTGTGATCAGAGGTTTTACCTTCCATCGAGGTTAAAAGAACACATGGCAACTCATACGGGTGAGAGGAATTTTAGATGCGAATACTGTGATAAAAGTTATCCGAGGTTGAAGAGTCTGCAATATCATATACGGACACATACAAATGATAGAAGATACAGGTGCCATATTTGTGGACAGGCGTTCATTCAGAATGCAAGTTTGAAGTCACATATCAAGAGTCATCATCCGGAGTGTGATGTTGAGGGATGCTATTTTTAATGTAAGTTTTAATTTAACTTGAATTTGTGTTCACTGTATAAAGTTAGTTTAGTGGTTTAATTTAGTAAATAATATGATTGGCAATATTCGATTGGCTTTGTTGGAGGTTGTAGATTTGAATCCTGGCTGTGCATAGTGGAGTTTATGTGCGCATTTATTATTGATATGGGTATCAATAAGGTGACCAACTTTTTTTTTAAAAAAAGAGTACACTTTGCAAGTATGTTATACGTGAAAAAAAAGAAGAAAAAACGATAAATACTTTTTTTTCTTTTAAAGACATTTTCTTCAGAGTGGTTTTTTTTTGCTAAATGCATATTAAATTTGACTGTTAAGATGGCAGATAATGTTTTTACAGAAACTTCTCACTGCTCCAATAATCATTCCCTGATACCCTTTCCACTGCAGCATTAGTGCTTGTTCAACGAAACGCACGTAACGCATGTGAACACTTGGATATTACGCCATGTTTGATATTTCGTGACCGCGCCCGCGAGTTAACGTGAACAAGCACTTAGTGCCTGGACAAAATAAGGAAATTTCTATAAAATCTTTTAAATTTTCATGTGGGATATGTTCTACTCTAAAATGCCGAAAGATTACTACCCAACTTTTGTCAAGTTCTATTTTCTCATCTCATCATAGTTGGTCACCTTAGTACCAAGTATTACGTAAGCAGATTTATTGCAAATTATCCCCCCCCTATCAGCAAAAGTAAGCAAAAATAATAGTACAGAAACGTATGTATTTTTTGTAGGAGTCGAAAATGCATTTCGTTTTCAATCATAGACAATGTGTGGGTAATATGTGTAAAAAAAGTTAATATTGTTGACGTAATCACCAAATAAGAAAATCAAAGACCCCCTCCCCCCAATAGAGCTTACGTAATACTTGAATGGCCCCTATGGTAGAGGAAAAGGCTGGAACCAGCCTTACACTAGCGTGTGTCAGGCACAAAACACCTGATCTTTTCTTAAGATACCTGAAAGGTTGTAGCGACACTCTTTTTTCCACTCTACTCTGTTATTAATATTAATAACGCCTCTAAAATTACAGAAAATTTTCATGGAATTAACAAATAATTAAATCAAAATTAAATATTTTTTAACATTATGGTGGATCAGTTGGGCTTGTGCCTATTAATATTTATATATTATTAGTGATTCAGCCCTAGGTCTTGGATTCGATATCGCGGAAAGGAGCGTTCAAGTATTACGTCACGCAATTTTTGGAGATTATTGACCCCCCCTCCCATGTAACGTTTTTCTGTACCCAAGTATAGTAAAACGTTTCGTGACCACCTAGTGCATCTTTATACCTAAAAGTTACCATTATGTGGTGTAAAGTACTGGAAAGTCGAAAATAATATTAACAATAACGCGCGTAATTCAATCATCCCCGCCCCGCATGGTAACATTTTACAAAAGGACCCCCCCTCCCCAAACTTCGTTATACGTAATACTTGAACATTCCTGAAGCTAAAAAGTCATCATGTTCAATCATAAGGCCTGTATTCATTTTGATTCGTGATTAGGAGAAAACAAGTGTGGACAGCGACTGATTAGTGCAGGTGATTAGTTGGCTGCGTAGTAAAGTGATTAGAAGAGTTTTCAATTTTTTTGCGAGTGAACTGCGAGTAGTGACGTCGCGTGCGCCCTCCCTTCCCCCTCACTCGCATTGTGCCTGCCAAACAGCTATCGAAAACTGAATTTACTTAACAGAGCCACTAAACAAGAATTGAACACTACTTGCACTACACACCTGCACTAGTCAATGTCAATTACTAATCACTTGCACTCGCACTAATTAAAGTGAATACAGGCCTATAGAACAAAAGTTGAAGTTAGATAAATTAGTAACAAAATAACAAAATAGAGCAACAAAATTTAGTGACAGACAGCGCATGTTATATAATAATAACACTTCACTTACGTCACAATAACACAGGAGAAAATTAAATAAAAGAAGACAAAGGTTGGAAATACTGCTAAAAGTTAATTAAACATGAAAAAAAAATGTGTGCGTGTACTAGGTGTACACACGTAAGAAGTGAAACTTCTTTATGACCTTATTAGAAACTATTTCTTTAAACACAGTAAATTTTGATACACTGCCTAGCATACAATTTACAAATTAATTGCTGCAAATTGCGATTAGCAAATTTCAAGTCGAAAATGTAATCCGTTGTCAAACTTCAAAGTCAAAAACATACTATATGTCATATTTTAACGCCGATAAAGAAGTTTGACTTCGAAAATGTAATCCGTTGTCAAACTTCAAAGTCAAAAACATACTATATGTCATATTTTAACGCCGATAAAGAAGTTTGACTTCAAAAAGCAACATGGCGCGTAACGGAAAAATGTGACGCGTAACGCAAAAATGTTACTCTACATTTTTTTCAAACCCCGATAAAGAAGTTTCACTTCAAAAAAAAAATTAACAAGAACTTTAAAACTTATATAGATAATATATAGTACATTTACTCTGCGAAGTCTGCACGGCTATAGTCTAGAGTGTCTTCTGTCACGTTGACAATTTACTTTCGCGATGAAGTTTTGTCGTTGATTAACCATATTATTTTTTATGGCAACATCAAATAAGTACACCATACAATTTAATGCGTAAATAGTAGTGTAACACAGCTAGACGTTTATTTTTGAAGCTACTCAGGGATATTGAAGCATTTTAATAGAAATAGTTTTAATTTATTAAATAATTTAAGTAAAATCTGTATTATTTTAAGATTTTTTTTTATACAATATAACATGGTTAAACAATATCACATGAGATTATAATTTATAAAACGTGTTTGACTGTTTTTTTTATGGCAACATCACATTTTTAATAGCTCAATGTATGAGGAAATGCAGTATATTAGAAGATTGTATATAAAATGAGAGATTATGTAAAAATTATGTAAATAAGAATCTCAAGTATCTGAAAATCTGCTAAAACCGATAAATATAGTTTTGATATGCGTTTGTTCGAAAGAATAGACAACTGATCTCTTTCATTGTTATTATCTGTGACAATTTATGTAAAAGGGGATTTTTTTTGCCCAAAGTGTTAAAAACCCGCCCAAAAACCCAAAAAAAAAGGGGGCATAGTCAAGATGCCTTAACGACGTGTATTCAGAAAGTCGAAAACTAAATTTGTATGAAAATTTGTCAACACGAACTGTCACTTTCATACCAATTTTGTTTTTTCAGAGCAGTTATTTCACTACATTGGTGCAATACTTGGCGACTCATTGGTCTAGTGGTTAGTACCCCTGACCATGGTCCGGTTCATCCCCTGAGAGAATCATGTGATGAGCATTTGGTGTTATGCTTAGGTCTTGGGTGTTTAAATATGTATTTATATGTCTATCTATGTATAATATGTATGTATATCCGTTGCCAAGTACCCATAACACAAGCTTCACCAGCTTAGCATGGGACTAGATCAATTGGTGTGAATTGTCTTTAAAAAAAAAATATACAATAGAACACTTCATATTTAAGATAGGTAAATAAAAAAAACGTGTGGCATTCGGGGACTGCCGCGGTAAAGCTGTTGCATAGAATTTTTATCAACTTATGCAATTATAATTATTTATTTTTTATTTATGCAGTATTTTTTGGTTTGATATTAATTCAATCTACCACTCTACCAGACAGACTAACACGCCTATATAGTGTGTCTCACTCTAACGCGTACCGGCCCCGCTTAACGCACTGATCTCGTCAGAGCGATGTGAATGCGCATTATGCGTTCTGTCCCACTCTAACGCACCGGCCCTACGTCACCGATCACGCCAGACCGATGTGAAACGCAGTATGCGTTATTTCCCGCTCTAACGCGTAATTTTCGTTACGGAATTTCTTGATTCGGTCGCCGAACTCAAAGCCCGCGGTAAAATCTATGCAATAGCTTAAAACGAAATACTCACCAAGTTTGGAGGATATCCTTCCTCCACAGATATGTTTCGCAGATTTTCAGAGACGGCTTTAAATGTAATTAAGAACACTAGATCTAATTTTATAATAGATTATTTATAATGCATTTAATTTATATTAAATAATTATTCGTAAAACATATTTTTATTTGCGTTATCCCAACTAACGCGGCAAAAATATATCGTTAGATTATAGATGACAGCACAGCGCATGTTGTGATCTGTCAGTTGTCAATTTAGTTGAAAATCATAACCATTCATATTACTAAAGGTGCGCTTCCCGGCAACTAAAATTCTCAATTCCAGTCAATACTCGTATTATGACGTCACGACTACCCCGCCCCTTCCAAGCAATCTACGGGCAATACATTTACATCATATACTGCGCAATACAGTATTCGATACTGGAACATTGTTTTGCCTAGCCCCCCCCCCCCCCCCCCCCCTTTTTTTAGCTTTTCATCATAAAAAAAAATTTAGAAAGAAAGGGTATTGGGTAATCTTTTCGAATTTTCATTGTGTAAATAATTAGATGATATATTATTCAAAAACTTTACTAGAATGTCCACGAACAGACTTTGAATTACTTTTGAATAAAGTAATTAGAAATTATTATTATTTAACCTCTCTCTCCCCGCGGGAAGCAAGACGGCTAGCGCAAAACAAACAAGTGCGAATGAGATATTTACAAAAATTGCTAGGAATTTCCAAGTCCATTGGATATTCGTCAATTCGTATCTGCGAATGAGCGAAGAATCTGGACAATTAAGCAATATGCCTAAATAATTTTGACATTTATTAAATTTATTGAAATTGCTCCAATTCATTCTGTGCACAATTATTCCCTGAGCGCACCTTAAGGAGATTTACTGCAATTTATCCCCCCCAGCTTTGTCAGCAAAAGTAAAGCTCTCAAACGAATTAATTTATTTCAGGAGGAATCCTCAAAAATGCACTTCGTTTTCAATCATAGACAATGTGTGGGTAATATGTGTAAAAAAGTAAATAATTACAGTTGACGTAATCACGAAATAAGAAAATCAACGAAACCCCCCCATCGTGCTTACGTAATACTTAAATGGCCTCTGGGTATGTTCTTCGTAAACGCCATTTGCAAATCTTAATATATATATTTCTTCTGTGCGTGTGTATGTGACTGAACTCCTCTCAAACGACTGGACTGATTTTGATGAAATTTTTTGTGTGTGTTCAAGGGATCTGGGAATGGTTTAGATTCACAAATCAGCCCGGCAGATGGCCCCCGGACTGCAGTCGGTACTTTCATACTTTGCTTAAAAAACCAAACCCTTTTAATTTAAAAATCAGGAAACGTCTGTGGGGTCCACTAGTGTAATATAAATGAATAAAAGTCGTTTTTTTACGTCCTTCTCTTTTGGCGTCGTGTCATAAGAACAGTTTTGGAATAAGATAAAGGAAAGAAATATTACGACACTATCTGGTCAATATATTCTTGATGCCTTGTTGTATGTACAAAAAAATATGAACGATTTTAAAAGAAAAGGTGACTTTGACCAGTATAATACTTGAAAGACAACAAATCCAAATGTAGGACCAACCAGACTCCAGAAGATAAACCACTCTTTATATGGAAACTAGCAGACTCGGCCAAGCGTTGCTGTAGCTAAGGTTTTTGTTATATTACATAGTAGCAAACTATTCAAGGGAAACGGTAGGAGAACACCAGTCATGGGGACCACTATGCTCTATTATATTGGTGGTTATGCCATTAAATTGTAGCTCATGTGAAACGTTGGTACTTTCAACACAGCACCATCTGTTAGAATTGTGACTATCAAATAATAAACAAATATTTTGCAATAAAATAATATTGCGGGTATAAATTGAGATGTAAGCTATCCTATATTTTAAGTTGGATCAAACTACACACGGTGTGCAAATTTGATTGATTGAACGTGACACGTAATTTATATATATTAAGATAGTATTCGTTTTTACAACCAATTCCCAAGCGAAATTAGAGAATTATCACTGAATAAATTCTAAACTCTCGTTAAACGTAAATTAATCAATAAAGCTTTTTATAAATTTGACGAATATTTAAATTATCCTAATCCTTGGGATTGATTTGCTCCAGTTCAAAAAATTTGGTTGACTCAAAACTTGGCGATTAAAAAGAGTGGCGGAGAGTTTCTTGCCCGTTCTACGCCCCGACTTGCGAACTGGTAATAAATGTAAATTTAAAATCTAATTATCATATATTTCTATTGACGTTCATAAGTACCTACTTGGTTACCTTTATGAATAAAGTTAGTTTGAGTTAACCTATTTGGTTCAATTGGCATTAAGGGCGGAAACGATTAGAAAAATATTTTGGACATAGACTAAAACTTTGATTTAATTTTCTTTGTACTAATTTTTGATGTGAAACATCTATAGGCTCACTTGTAAACCGAATTGTTGGCGTGGCGACGTTTGCCGTGGCGACGGGTCGCCACGCTATACTAAGATATACATAATATTAGGTTGGGGAAAGTCTTTTTGCATTATACTATGTATGAACTTGTAATAAAATCTCTTTGGCTATACTATATGTATTTGCCTGTTTTGATGTGAAAACTGAAACATCTATAGCCGTACGTAAAACCGATTTCTGGCGTGGCGACGCCACGCTATATGATGGTATATATATACAGTCTATATGCAGTAGTGTGTACGGTGTGTGTATTTCGGAGTCACTGATTAAACGAATTAAGTAGTCACGATTTGAAATAAATTTTTGTATTTAATGAAAATAAATGTTTATTCAATAATAGTCATCGTTATCTGGAAAAAAAATCGTAATATTTTATTTTATCATTATTACATATTTAGTTCCTATCACAATCTGTTCTTTTCTGCATATTACTTTTACAAAATAATGTCGATGTTTCACATCTGCCAGGCGTCCCGTGACGGCTCATATTTATATTATTACTACTATGTAGGTTAAGAAAATTGCAAATATACAGATATTTGATTGTTATCTTTTTAATAAACGATAAATATATAACATACTACCAGCTAATAGCTATTATGGATTATAGAAAAGTAATAGATTTTTGTACGGTGTTGTGTTTGTGTTTAGTACGTAAAATAAAACAATTATAAATTGACAACTGGGCCCTTGTTCTGAGACTTCCAAAAGCGTGACCGATTCCAACCTTTTTATGCAAATGTTCTCTCAATATCCGTAGTGGTGGTGGAATCGCATATAACTCATTGAGATCGGGAATTCTATTGGAAGTTACAGAGTAATGGGTCTGATCTTTATTCACCACAAGTAGTGCAGTCATATAATAAACATTTTGAGAGAAGCACAGATTCAAATTCATATTTTGCTTTGTCTATGATATAAAAAGAAAGCATCATGATTTTTACAACCATATTTTTTTATCTTTTTAACTTTCCTTACCCGAACCATAGGCTCGCGACGCTTGTTCGTACATTCGTAAATTTTGACGTTTCTTTAAAAAATCTCTGAAGTAGACGCATGCGACCTTGAACCGCTCGCCGTACGAGTTCAAGGTCATTAAGCAGAATGAACATTGCATGGGTTTTTTAAATTTCGGAAGCAATTACTCCACTTCATATTTGTTTAACCCTTAGCTAAATCGCTATCTGCATGATGCGATCGCATATGTCCTTTCAAACTACAATTCTGCACGAAGCCCTGCCCACAAATAGCGCAAACAAATCTCCTATCATTAGCATGTATCCGCATATGCTCCTTCAACGTTTTCTTTCTCGCATATGCCTTTTTGCATATGCTACATTGATTCGTCCTCTCCCCAACATGCTTTATCATGTGCACTTTCAATTCCGTCACCGTATAACACTTATAGCTACACAATTCGCAATCCACATTCTTCATCTCCAAATGGCGCCGGCGCACATGGCAGAGCAAGGCGTAGCGTCGTTTAAAAATCGCATCGCAAACGTTACATCTGTATTCCAGAGGCGGTTCGCCGTGGACTTCGACCATGTGTTTGTGCTTATTAAAATAATCAGCGAAACGAGCTGGACACTTCGTGCATTTATTTTTTTTCACAGATCTATGGACGACGTCATAATGGCAGTTGTATTTATGTTGGGAAGGGAATGTCTTTTTGCATATCTCGCATGGAAACACCCCGTTCTTATGCGAATACCTCCAGTGTACCTTTAGACGATTTTTCGTCATATAACCAGCGCCGCATTCGCAAACATAATTCCTGTAATGCGTGTTCATGTGGCGTTCAATTGAACCGAATGTTTCGAAGCTAAACCCGCAAATTTGGCAAATGAACTCGTTTCCCTTAATCAATTTGAATGGAACTACCCTCTCACTGGAGGGAAAAAACTTTTGCTTGTGTACCGTCATTAAGTGCGCTTTTAACGCGTTAAAGTCGAGTGAGGTATTACATATTGTGCATTTTAATTCGTTTATATGAGCGTAAATAATTAAGGACTCGGAACATTTTTTATTAAGAACTTTTTTTATTGATTTCTTGCAGTTTTCGCTTTCTTGGTGTGAATGGAGATTTTGAAAGTTGTCAAAAGGTTTAGAACAGTAAAGGCAAAGGATTCCAGAGCGCCGTTTTGGTTGGAATGGCGCCAGATTGGAATTTTGTAAGAGTTGCATTATGTTATTTAAGAGAGTCGATTTTTCTGTTACATATGTGGATGATGTTTTGTTTTGCTTTTGAAGGAGGGCCTTAATATCTGTTGCCCTTACGTTTTTACCTGCAAAAAAATAATTTAAATTCATTATTTGAAAAGCCTATGAATCTGGTAAAAATTGGTGTCAAGAGTAAATTTGCGTTAAAATTTAAAAAAATATTCACTTTTGACTATTCTCTATTTTTCAATGTTACAAACGTCATTAAAGTCATTGTCCTGTCATTGAAGTTGCACCTAAACATAAATGACAAATGACATTTTCCTAGTCAACATCTATAGAGGAACGTGCTAAATGGCGCCAAAAATTTATAAAGCGTACTAGATCAAATAAACTTTCTTGATTTAGTCCAAAAGCGTAAATAATGACTATGGAATAATTAACCGATTACAATATTACCTTTCAAAGAATCCAACTGTTTGGCAAAGTTGTAGTAAGTTTTGTACAAAGTGTGTCGAGTGGGTAGTGGCTTCAAACCGGCAAACCTTGACAATAATTCATTTTCACCTTGTATTTCATTATCACCTAAAATTTTATTTGTGTCAAGTCCTAGTAACTCGTATGTCAAAATTCAAAACGTTTTTGAGGTAAGGTGGACTTAGCCTAAAGTTTCGTTTCTCAGTGCTAAGTATGACTCGCGTGTGTCAAAAACGTATTGGATTTTGACGTAGTCATACTGGCTAAGTTTACCTGACCTGCAATTCTCGAAGGTCGACAAATGCCTATCAAAAAGTAAATAATTCTAAGCAGAACAGGTCCCCAAAACAAGAAGGGCTTTAAAAACAATATTAACAGAAAGGGGGCGTCCATAAATTACGTGAGGTGTTTTTTTTAATTATCTGTGACTCCCTTCCCCCTTGGTGAGATTTCGTGAGATTTTATTCAACCCCCTCCCCCATCCCCCAATCTCACGTGAGATTTTTCAAAATGTGGGTTTCTTACGTAAACGCGTTGGATTGTTATTGTAAAAAGAAAAAAAAATTGCTTCGTGCTTTTATTTACGACTAAAACAAAATAAGTGAAATGTTGAGCGTTTAGGTATGGAGTTAGCGGGAAGTTGCAGAGATGGCCTTTAGGGTCAACCGTTTTCCAAAAAAAAATTTTCAATCAGAATGAAAAAGTATGTAAAGAAAGAAAATTGCGTGATATTTGCCGAGACCCCCCCCCCTCGCTCCAACGTAAGATTAAATAAGATTTGACTCGACCCCCTCCCCCCTTAAACACCTCACGTAATTTATGGACGTCCCCAAAGTATAAGATTTTTAAATATTTTTATTTAAAGCATAATACAGTAAAACAACGATATTTTACAAAAAATAATACAAGGTAGTTAGAGAATGTAAAAGTATGTAAAAATAAAGTTTACTTACTGCAACAATCTTGATCCAATATAGAATAGGAATCAAATGAATTTTCCAAGATTTCCTCGCTTTTCACATTTGTGTTGCTATTCCATTGTTTACCAACTGTAATTTAAAGTTTATCTAAATAATTAAATTTATTCAAAATAGCTGTTTCGGCAGATGTTTTAACTTTTATTGCATTTGACCATTTTGTAGTGGAGATATTTTAAAACTTGTCTCATATAACATTTTTATAATGAAATGTCATCAAGGGCTTTTTGTTTATAATTCGATACTTGCGCTTAAAATTTCACTATAAAAACAGCTCCCGAAATAATAATTTAAAACAAATTTAATTCAAATAAATAGATATAGTCTTCTGTGGACTTTAAAGAACTTTGAAAGAGAAATATAATTTAATACTTTATCTCTTTTTTTTTTCTCAGTGGTTGCCTGGAAGAGATCGCTCGAAAGCGATAAGGCCGCCAGTTGCTCTCCTTTTTATTTAATTATGTCAATTGTACTATATTTATGTATATGCAACGAAGTGTTAATAAATAAAATAAATAAATATATTTACATTACTTTAACTGTTTACACAACTTATAAAACACAAAAATAATTATTTAATTTGAACCAAGGTTTTGCCATCAAACAAACAATTCAGCTTATTTTTTAATAAACTTACGATTGCAGTCCTCTATATCATTATCCAATGTTGAATCACAGATTTCTAATTTTACCATCTCTTGTGTATTTACCTCCACTCTGGCCTTGTTTGACCATGTATCACTAACTGAAAAATTTAGTTTATCACTAAAAATTTAATGAAACTGTGCTGTTTTAATCTGTATTAAATCTGTTCATGCAAGTACTTGCCTGTTAAGGAAAACACGGTGAGGATTGCACTAATTCACATCAAACAGTTGCTGTTGTGTGAGATGGGTAAATATAGGTACATGTACAAAAATACTCACTATTAATAAAAACTGGATCTCGTTCTGAAGCTTGCAGCAAATCTTGTTCAGCTTTAACAACCATTGCTCGGAAACTATTTGCATCACGCAGTTGTTTAATACAGGACATACATATTAGGCTACTTTGGTTGGACACAATGCATAGCTGAAAATATTTAACACATTTTTAGTCTATACTACCGACTAAAAGTTTCTTATCATCAAAAACTTCAAATTATTGACTGCCCCAAGTATAAGAAAGCTAGGCTATGACCTTTTGGGTTATTAAATATATGATTCTACATTGTAGTGAGATTTACAGATAATGTAATCAAGTTACTATTGAGATCCTAACATCAACGGGTAGATTTGTAGGTTTTCACAATGGATCATGTTTCTGTAAAACAATGAATAAGTATACACTTGTAGGACGTCAATATATTTTGTATATATTCATTTTAGAAGAAACGAACATATACTAACATATAAATTAAAGCATTCCTGAAAGATATCAAAATAAATCTCGCTTAAATTATTTCCTTCGTATTCTTTCATTAGATCTCTGTGGAATCCCTCTGAGTGGCAAAATCTACATTTTCCAGTAATATTATATGTATTAAAATCCATTTCAATGAAATATGATAAATTAATAACAAACAAGTAACAACATCAACATAGATTTTTCTACTACTTCCAACACAGACTAGAACGTTTAAAAACCAAATATATATTTTGACACTTGACTCTTGACAGACGTAGCTCTGAACCGTAGACAGACTATGGTATAGACCAGGCATCAGCGTACAGCGTGTGAGATAGCAAATGATCGACATATTATGTCGTATTTACAGTTTTAATTCATTGAAAATGGCTTATTATTGACCAAAATACACATTCGAATGAATAATTCTTGAACAAAGTTACTGAGTCGTGACAAAATAAACTACTTACCGATGAAGGGTTATGTTTGGTTCTTTACGTTCACTATAGCTTTTACAGCCAATTATGCAACAATTCACCATGACTGACACTTTAAATACACCTCTTATAAGGATAAAGTCTTAAAATATGGGTTTGACTTGGGTTTCATAGATTTATCAGTAAGCGGTGAAAACTTGTTTACCACCTAGCCCTTGGTGATAAAACCTGATACGCAAATAGAGACAGAAAAACTGATACTTTGTTTCGGTCGCACTTAAGTATTTCGCGTTAATGCCTTCTCTCTTTAGTTATTATTGTTATTTTAGAAGCTCATCTAGTTCTATTCTATCTACGCTCTGAACATATTGAAATAGGTAAATGTCTTCAGTAAATTTTTTTTTTCTTTTTAGCCGGGATCCTTTTGTATTAGGTTTTTCTTTGCCAGTCTCATCCTTGGCGGTAAACCTAAGCATAACTTACGTAGGTAATTGTATTATTAGTGTCGTAATAACATTAGACTAGACGAGATTTAGCGCGAACAATAACATGTCAAAATCCGATACATTTGTGACGTACGGGAGTCAGACTTGACGCTAAGCACGCCACTAATTAAAAATATGTCTAAAAATTCAAAACAGGTCTTTTGTGTATATATTTTTTAAGGTTTTACTTGTTTATTGATTACATTTACTAAGATTTTCATGATCCTTGATGTGTTCTTTTAATGTATATTTCCTAGTATAGGATTTAGAACATACATTACATGTATACGGTCTTTCTCCCGAATGTTTTAGCATATGCTTCTTCAAACTATGATTCGTTATAAACGCCATATTACATTCAGTGCATTTCTTATTCTTATTACCATGCGTTTGGCGAATATGCGTAGCTAAATAATGCTTGATATTATAAACCCGCGAACAAAACGGACATACAAAGTTGTGTGTTATATTATGCACTTCAGACATATGTTTGATTCTGTCATTATAGTGTTTCATTTGTTTTTCGCATATATGACATTTTATAATACGTTTAGAATGCATTTCCATATGGTTGGCTCTCGAAGATTGAGTTTTTAATACCTTTCCACATTTTAAACAAGGATAAGAGCCATTTTCATGTGTCCGTTTGTGCACCTTTAACCTTTTTGAATTTATAAAAGATTTCCCGCAAACATCACAAATACAGTTGGCGTAGTGTTCGTTTAAATGAGTTGTAAGGGAACGGAATACGTGAAATTTCTTCTCACATAAATGACAAGAGTAAGGGCTAGAATCAACTTTATAATCTGCGATACATTCGCTATAGATAACTTTATTGTGAACATCACTAAGATGGCGGCGCATGCAATCCACATCTGTCAAATTCAAATGACACTTCCGGCATTCGAGATTCGATATGTCAATTTGAAGAGAGCGCGGGAAGCGTTTTATCATTTTTAATTCATTATCTATGTTCGTATGAGTTTCGTTTGTGTGTTCTCTTAATAATTTTAGTTCCATGAAATCTTTTAAGCAGAAAAAGCATCTAAACCAGCTCTTTAGATGTCGAAAGGGGCAAGCTGTGGTTTCCTTTAAGACAATTTCACAAGTGAGGATAATTCGTTTGCGTTCCGATAGTTGTTTACAACTATTTGGCATTTGTAGGGGTAGACAATCTGAAACATAAATTAATTGGCATAACTAATACCACATTTCTCCTTTTCAGCAATAAGAATATGATTATTACAAAATATCTTAATGGATCTATTTCTAAATAATTGTAACTATTGAATGGATTTAAAAAAACTCCTTACTTTGTAGTTTAGATATTGGTATATCTTCATCTGGATCCTCAGTATCACAATTTTCTATAATATGTCTATGAGTATTTTCATCAAAGGCATTGCTTACTGTTCTATTGTCTGGAATATTAAATTCAACTGTTTATAATATTTTGATTGATATATTTTCATGTTCGCTGCTGGGTTCAAGTTTAAATTAAAATCCTGTCTGGAAGTGTTTGATATTTAGTACACTTAGACACATCATTACACAAAGATTTTTATACCTCTTTTACACATTACACATTGTATATGTTTATTTTTATTTATTTTCATTTCTCTTAGATATTAAATACTCACTATATAACTGCCATAGCTCATTATATTTTCTCTCAGATAACTTCACTTGCTCATGAAATTTGTAAATATTTTCAATTTTCTTAGCACATTCGTCACAAATTGTGTAACTATATCCAGGTTGTGATGCCAGCTTAAAACAATAAACATCTCTATGAAATAAATCCCTTAAAATCACAGTTTTAATTTACTACTATCTATTAAAAGCATAATCACAGATTGATTATGTCTTCAGTTTATTCATATATTTTAAATTTTCAAGAAATTATAATCTATAATAAATGCTAAATAAATTATAATAGGATATATAAACAATTTTAAAATAATACTGCCTATTGACACAGCATTGTAACAATATTAATGTTTAATTATACAATTACAATATCAATAAAAATAAGATTATAGAAATATAAAAATAGATAAAGATTTTAACTTACAGTAATACCAAAATATTTTTGCAATATGGTGTTCATTGCTTCCGGCAAAACTCCGTAAGGGTTTTCTAAATCTATTCCACCAATATAAGATAAACAGCAACGACAAATATCAGACTGTTCTATTAAAAAATTCATCTCGTTACATTAAATAATTGTTAAAACCTGAATCTGTTCACTGAATCTTTAAATTAAATATAATATTGGAATATATTTCAAATTAAATGAATTGTAATAATTAACTATAAACAAATTTAGTGTTGTTAATAATTTATTAGACACAGTATAATAACACTATACGCAGAGCTGCTGACGAATTGGCGCCGAAAATAAATGAAATTTCAAATTTAAAAAAAAACACAGTAATCACTAATCAATGACAATGGGCGTGTTCGGCCGAAGTAAGTACTTACTAAATTTAGTAAGTCACTTACTATGCTTACAAAATTTTCGGCCGGGACACAAAATAAGTGCTAACGCAGTAAGTATGGCTTAATATACGACGCCATTTTGCTTATTGTTGATGTAAACAAAACGGACAATAAAATATCCAATAAAATATTTCTCATAAAATTATCCATTTGAAACTATTCACAGGTATTAAATTATATTCCTAAATTTAGTACTGTCAATTATATTCAGTCTATGAGGTTATGTACGGGATATGACATAAACCGGTGTTTTGTGTTATGTTAATAAGCCAGTAAGTCTGTCCTGGCCGAAAAGCGCTACAGTCAGCTTGTAAGACTTTAATTTTTTTATGCTTACTGGCTTACTAAGTTTAGTAAGTACTTACTTCGGCCGAACACGCCCATTGACTTATTGTAAATCATGATTGGCGGTAAAATTTAAATTATAGCACATTTTGTTTTATAGGTACTTGGCGCTTCAATAGAAAATTGTATATTACTGCTTATGTATATTATATTATAAAACTTCTGATGTTTAATTAAATTTACCAAAATTATCAAGTCCTTTGCTATCTCATGCAGTAAATATACGAATCGAGTCTATATAAATATGTAAGCTGAGTAAAAAACTAGTGCCTGCAACACTCTTTCATCTGTTTAATAAACTAAACGTCAAAACTCTAAATTTGACAATCTTGTTTAATTCGCGCTCATTTCGAGATCCATTTAAATCTAATATTTTATGTTTCAGTACAATTCAAATTTACGTCATAACTTGCAAATTGAGCAAGGTAAAAAGATTCAATCTCGAGAACCATGAGAAACGTTGAAATAAAAGCGCGAGTTGACGACGTCAAAAGAATTTGTGAACTTGCTGAAGAACTAAGCGGTGGAACATTTAAGTTAATAGAGCAAGATGATACTTTTTATAATGTGCCTAACGGTCGTCTAAAGTTGAGAATATTTGAAGATTCATCTGCTACTTTGGTACGCTATGAGAGAAATGATGAGGGTGGGCCTAAAATGTGCGATTATGATTTGTTAGAATTCTCTTCAAATGAAAAAGAAAAATCTATAAAGTTAGATAAAATGTTAAAACAATGCTTGGGGGAGCGTGGTCGTGTTGTTAAAAAACGGCAAGTTACACTTTTAACTGTTATTTTTTTTTAACACCAATCAAATTACACATTGTGATTTGTGAATACTATTCTACTGTCTGAAAGTATTAGTGGCAATTTTTTTTACTATCATAGAAAATATTTGCTACACAACTCTACTATTATGACATGACATCTACATTGATATGATATAATAAATCTATAAACTATGCAAGATTGATAATTATACTCTTTATATAATTTTATTTGTTAATTTCAGCAAACTATACATGGTTGGCCAGACTCGAATACATATAGACACAGTTAAAGGGCTTGGAGACTTTATGGAACTTGAAGTGGTTCTTAGACCAGAACAAACATTGGAAGAAGGCCAGAAAATTGCTGAAGATTTGAAGACTAAACTTGAAGTTAAAGATGAGAACCTTATTGAATGTGCTTATATGGATTTGCTTGAAAAGAAGAGCCATAAAACTTAGTTATTTTATATAAATTGTTTACTTATGATATGCAATGCATAAACTGCTGTGAATCATTAATGTGCTGTGATGCTAAGCATTTGTTATTTAAAGTTGATTAAATTCTTATGCAAAGTATTTTAAATTAATTATTTTATTTTATAGAAAACGGGCAAGTAGGCTCATTTGATGTTAAGTGATACCCATGGGCTCTTGAATTCAAGAAACTTAATTGATGTTTATGCTCTGTTTGCTACTTTTAGATATCTATAGAATTTTTTATTATCTATATAAATCGAGTGTGACAATGTATGTCACTGTCTAATTAATAATTCAGGGGTCCCCCCCCCTTTGTTTCCCAAAAAAACCCCCCCCCCCCCCCCCCCCCCCCTTTTTTTTTCCCCCCCACCCCCCCCCCCCCCCCCCCCCCCACCCCCCCCCCCCCCCCCCCCCCCCCCCCCCCCCCCCCCCCCCCCCCCCCCCCCCCCCCCCCCCCCCCCCCCCCCCCCCCCCTTTTTTTCCCCCTTCCCCCCCCCCCCCCCCAAAAAAAAAAAAATTCCACCCTTTCCTTTTTTTTTTTCCCTTTAACCCCCCCCCACAAACCCCCCCCAGGCCCCCCCCCCCCCCCCCCCCCCCCCCCCCCCCCCCCCGGCGGCGGGGCCCCCCGGCACAACCCCCCTTCCCCCCCCCCTCCCCCCTTTTTTTTTTTTTTTCCCCCCCCCCCCCCCCCCCCCCCCCCCCCCCCCCCCCCCCCCCCCCCCCCCCCCCCCCCCCCCCCCCCCCCCCCCCCCCCCCCCCCCCCCCCCCCCCCCCCCCTCCCCCCCCCCCCCCCCCCCCCCCCCCCCCCCCCCCCCCCCCCCCCCCCCCCCCCCCCCCCCCCCCCACCCCCAAACCCATCCCTTGGGGGGGGGGGAAAAAAAGGAGGGCCGGGGGGCGGGCCCCCCCCCCCCCCCCCCCCCCCCCCCCCCCCCCCCCCCCCCCCGGGCCCCCCCCCCCCCCCCCGCCCCCCCCCCCCCCCCCCCCCCGGGGGGGGTGCCCGCCCCCCCCCCCCCCCCCCCCCCCCCCCCCCCCCCCCCCCCCCCCCCTTTTTTTTTCTTTTTTTTCCCCCCCCCCCCCCCCCCCCCCCCCCCCCCCCCCCCCCCCCCCCCCCCCCCCCCCCCCCCCCCCCCCCCCCCCCCTTTTTTTTTTTCCTCCCCCCCCCCCCCCCTTTGGATTGGCCCCCCCCCCCCCCCCCCCCCCCCCCCAAAAGGGAAAAATATTCCCCCCCCCCCCCCCCCCCCCCCCCCCCCCCCCCCCCCCCCCCCCCCCCCCCCCCCCCCCCCCCCCCCCCCCCCCCCCCCCCCCCCCCCCCCCCCCCCCCCCCTTTCTCCCCCCCCCCTTTTTTTTCTTCTTTCCCCCCCCCCCCCCCCCCCCCCCCCCCCCCCCCCCCCCCCCCCCCCCCCCCCCCCCCCCCCCCCCCCCCCCCCCCCCCCCCCCCCCCCCCCCTCTTTCCCCTCTTCTTCTTTTTTCCTCCCCCCCCCCCCCCCCCCCCCCCCCCCCCCCCCCCCCCCCCCCCCCCCCCCCCCCCCCCCCCCCCCCCCCCCCCCCCCCCCCCCCCCCCCCCCCCCCCCCCCCCCCCCCCCCCCCCCCCCCCCCCCCCCCCCCCCCCCCCCCCCCCCCCCCCCCCCCCCCCCCCCCCCCCCTCCCCCCCCCCCCCCCCCCCCCCCCCCCCCCCCCCCCCCCCCCCCCCCCCCCCCCCCCCCCCCCCCCCCCCCCCCCCCCCCCCCCCCCCCCCCCCCCCCCCCCCCCCCCCCCCCCCCCCCCCCCCCCCCCCCCCCCCCCCCCCCCCCCCCCCCCCCCCCCCCCCCCCCCCCCCCCCCCCCCCCCCCCCCCCCCCCCCCCCCCCCCCCCCCCCCCCCCCCCCCCCCCCCCCCCCCCCCCCCCCCCCCCCCCCCCCCCCCCCCCCCCCCCCCCCCCCCCCCCCCCCCCCCCCCCCCCCCCCCCCCCCCCCCCCCCCCCCCCCCCCCCCCCCCCCCCCCCCCCCCCCCCCCCCCCCCCCCCCCCCCCCCCCCCCCCCCCCCCCCCCCCCCCCCCCCCCCCCCCCCCCCCCCCCCCCCCCCCCCCCCCCCCCCCCCCCCCCCCCCCCCCCCCCCCCCCCCCCCCCCCCCCCCCCCCCCCCCCCCCCCCCCCCCCCCCCCCCCCCCCCCCCCCCCCCCCCCCCCCCCCCCCCCCCCCCCCCCCCCCCCCCCCCCCCCCCCCCCCCCCCCCCCCCCCCCCCCCCCCCCCCCCCCCCCCCCCCCCCCCCCCCCCCCCCCCCCCCCCCCCCCCCCCCCCCCCCCCCCCCCCCCCCCCCCCCCCCCCCCCCCCCCCCCCCCCCCCCCCCCCCCCCCCCCCCCCCCCCCCCCCCCCCCCCCCCCCCCCCCCCCCCCCCCCCCCCCCCCCCCCCCCCCCCCCCCCCCCCCCCCCCCCCCCCCCCCCCCCCCCCCCCCCCCCCCCCCCCCCCCCCCCCCCCCCCCCCCCCCCCCCCCCCCCCCCCCCCCCCCCCCCCCCCCCCCCCCCCCCCCCCCCCCCCCCCCCCCCCCCCCCCCCCCCCCCCCCCCCCCCCCCCCCCCCCCCCCCCCCCCCCCCCCCCCCCCCCCCCCCAAAACCTCCCCCCCCCCCCCCTACCCCCCCCCCCCCCCCCCCCCCCCCCCCCCCCCCCCCCCCCCCCCCCCCCCCCCCCCCCCCCCCCCCTTTCCCCCCCCCCCCCCTTTCCCCCCCCCCCCCCCCCCCCCCCCCCCCTCCCCCAATTTATAACCCCCCCCCCCCCCCCCCCCCCCCCCCCCCCCCCCCCCCCCCCCCCCCCCCCCCCCCCACCCCCCCCCCCCCCCCCCCCCCCCCCCCCCCTTTTTCCCCAATTTAAATTTTTTTTTTTTTTTTTTCTTATTTTAAAAAACCCTCCCCCCCCCCCCCCCCCCCTAACCCCCCCAAAAAAACACAAAAAAACCCCCCCCCCCCCCCCCCCCCCCCCCCCCCCCCCCCCCCCCCCCCCCCCCCCCCCCCCCCCCCCCCCCCCCCCCCCCCCCCCCCCCCCCCCCCCCCCCACAACCCCCCCCCCCCCCCCCCCCCCCCCCCCCCCCCCCTTTCTCCCCCCCCCCCCCCCCCACAAAAAAACCCCCAAAAAAAAAACCCCCCCCCCCCCCCCCCCCCCCCCCCCCCCCCCCCCCCCCCCCCCCCCCCCCCCCCGGGCGGGGCCGCCCGCCCCCCCCCCCCCCCCCCCCCCCCCCCCCCCCCCCCCCCCCCGCGCCCCCCCCCCCCCCCCCCCCCCCCCCCCCCCCCCCCCCCCCCCCCCCCCCCCCCCCCCCCCCCCCCCCCCCCCCCCCCCCCCCCCCCCCCCCCCCCCCCCCCCCCCCCCCCCCCCCCCCCCCCCCCCCCCCCCCCCCCCCCCCCCCCCCCCCCCCCCCCCCCCCCCCCCCCCCCCCCCCCCCCCCCCCCCCCCCCCCCCTTCTCCTTTCCCCCTCCCCTCCTCTTTTTTTTTTTTCAGTTGCTATAGTGCTTTTCATGAAAGAAGTCCCGCGGTGATTTTTGGAACTAAATTTGACAGGTCGGCCTCGGCAATGTTGTCATTCGTCGATGTTATCAAGTTCGTTTGTTGTGGTAGATTTTTGTGAATTTTTAACTAGCTTAGTGCATTTTGAAGATTGATTACAATGCCAAAAGTTGTAAAAGTTCGGCTCGAGAAATGATATTAAAGGTGAAAGAGTTCTGTGAAGCGGAACATAAGAATCAAGGTGTTTTAATACCACTAAACAATGTTCGGAAGAGAGTTTTTTTTTTTTTTTTTTTTTAACTTTTTGGCAACAGATTCAACTTTATGCCAGTTTCAAGTAAAAATGGAAGAGAGTTGCCGCCATAACGGGTACTTTTTAGAGTTGCCATTTAATAATTTTTTGCTGTATTGATGGGACTTTTATGATATAAATTCGTTTTTGCGACAAATTTGAACAAATACATAACGTGATGACACTATATAATTTCATCATAAACTTAAAGTTACTATTATTTTTAACTGTTCATAATTTAATTGCAGGTGTGTCAAAGAAAACTGTAACAAGAATTACAAACGAAGGTATAACAGCGGCGTGTATTTCGAAAAAAATTGTAACCCAACAATTATGCATTAAAACTCTGAATAAAACATTGTATTGCTTTTCTTTACCCTATTTTCTCATCGTTTCCCTGTAAGTAGGTAGAACACCGCTAATATAAGTAAATAAAAATATAATTTTTACATAACATAAATATTGTTTCATCGAAGTATGCAGAAAATAGTATTATTTGATAAATTACATCTGCTAAATGTAAAAAAAGTGTGTGTGTACAAAGTACTCATGTCAGAAGTGAAACTTCAGTGGCAAACTAATCTTGAAGTGTTGTTCATATTTATACAAATCTAAAAGTTTAGATTTCCGATACTTAGAGGGACGGAAAAAGGAAGATATGTTAGGAATTTAATGAATTTAATTGTCATTAAAATATTAAGTGTCGAATAATAAATAATAATGTGACGGTAAAATTTTTTTCCAACGCCGATAAAGAAGTTTGACTTCAAAAAGGAACATGGCGCGTAACCGAAAAACGTGACGCGTACGGCGTAACGAAAAAATTTAACACTACATTTTTTTCCAACCCCGATAAAGAAGTTTCACTTCAATAAAATAGGTAAATTTTTTACTCATAAATGGCAACATTACGTCATGCGATTGCAGCGCCGCGTCTGGGGGACTTCTTTCATGAAAAAGACTATACTTGCTGTCACTGTCCTTACTTGCGTAGTACTGTTCTGTGCCGTCAAGTGTCAACTTTTACTTGCTTTATACGCTGGTTCATATATGCCTGATCTTGTGTTCAGTGTTGTTTACTATCAATAAAATAAATATATTTTATTTAGGAAGCTGTTGATAGTATAAAAATGAACGAAACATCATACGGTCAATGTCGATGCTGCCTTGTTTCTGGTTATCATAAAAGTATGACGGAGGAACATGAAGAGCAAAGAGATACCTATATAGATATGTTTTTAGAATGCTTTAATTTATTTGTAAGTATTTTTTTGTTTATGAAATTACCTAACCTTGCAAATGTTGCTTTTAATTTCCAACCAAATGCGTTTTTCGGTTCCGTTATAATTTACTTATTTCAAATTGTTTCTGACTGAAAAGGCCTGGGACTAGTGCTAGACAGGCTACTTTTAATAAATTTGCGATATTTGTTTTAAAATAAGTGTTTGATGATTTGCTATTTTAAAAGAGTACCGAGAGTTTTTTACACCCTCTGTCTTCTTTTCCGATGAGTAGGGATGCCTACAAATTCAAATTTAATGACGTGGAATAAGTGATACATGTATCTTATGTTCCATAATAAACATATTGTGATTGTGACTGTACAACTTACTTTTTAACCGATTGTAGTTATTATTTGTGACGTTTTCCTGTCCAATAAATATACCCTAAAGGATTGTGCTTCCGCTGACTGGTAATACAGCTGTATCATCAACATTTATTGATCTAATTTCAGTTATCAACGAACAGTGAATTGACTTGCCTCATATGTAAATCTTGCCTTGAAGAACTCCATCGGGCGAATAAATTTAAGGCTATGGTTATTCAGAACGAACAGAAATTACTAGCAATGAGTTCAAATAATGATGTGATGTATATTAACTGTAAGTAAATGCTTTGCTTAAAGATGTCTTGAGGGAGATTCACAAATAATACTTACTATTATGGCGAACTATGACTTTTGTTTGTCAAAATCAGAATCTATTGTACAAATTTATCATGATTATAAATATAATATGATTTATTAATTTACTAGCTAAAGGAATTTTTATTTATGCCATGAGTGACATTTAATGTAGTTTACACTGTATTTCAGACCCTGTAAAAACATGTTTATATATTACTAGGAATAGGCCAACGTACAATTGCCCATGGGTAAATAATTTTTTCACACTTTGGGTTATATTATTGCATTTTTGTTAGGACCCCTATTTTGTTTTGAACATGTAATATAGTCTATGTCAGTCAGTGAAGATGCAGCTTTCTAATGGTTTCACCATTTTTGAAATTGGTCCCTACTGGACCAATTTCAAAAATGGTGAAAATGGTGGGTTTTGTGTGAAAACATTACAAACATACATACAAAAACACAATTGTTTTCTCTTATAATATTAGTATAGATAAAAATTATTCTAGTTGACTTATAATTATAAAAATGTTCCATTTTGATTGCTTTTCATATTTAGGTATGTCTATAACAGTAATTAAGCAATATGAAAGTTTTTGTTAATCTGGTAAAGAAAAAATTTCCAGCTTTTCACTATTCATATAAATCAAAACAGTTTTGTATTACAGTACCCAGGCCGATAGAAACGGACGTAGACTTCAAACTAGAATCCATTAAGTTGGAACCTCTCAGTGACAATGAACATATGGAGCTTGATAATGACTCGGACTACATTAACTCTGATGGAAATGGTAATGGACATTTTCATGTATATGCAAAATATTTAGAGCAAATAAGTATATTTCTTCATTTTATTTCTAAGCCCAACATGTGTTGCAACTAAAAAAAACATTGATGTTGTATAATTTATTTAATTGATTGATAAATTTACATTTAATTTCACCGTATTTGCCAACTCTATTTCCAAAGATGATGCCCCTTCTTTCCTGAGATCATGTTTACGAGTCAAGGCTGTACATTTTGCTCACTCAGGTTTTCTTAGTTTTATTACAGTGGCGATTTCCTAAATCATCAGAGTTCACTCACTTCAACTGTTACAATGCATTCATTAGTTACATAGCAGTTAAGTTTTTATTATTTCGCTTATATTCTATTGTTGTACGCTACTGCTTAATGTAAAGTAAAAATAAAATCCTCTATTTAAAGCACCCCAATGACCCAGGAATCGTACAGTATGTTTATGCTATTTAGATTTTTTAAAATTTTTTAGATAAGGACGATACCACAATTGATCATATAGACGGAGAGGCGGAGTTATTGGCTCGCTTTCCTGTTATAACTAAATTACCTATTCGGGACGCGCTGTATACTAATGCATGCTCTGGATATGTTAAACATTTGGATTTGCTTAAAGGTAATATTTTTTTTTACGTATTATAAAATAAATATCAGTATTAGCCTAGTAGTGTTACTATGTGTGTTTGAACCCTGCTTCCGCTTGTAAATTTACTACATTCTCAATCAAATCTTTAAGGCGATATGTTAAACACAAGAGGCTGACCACGTGACTAGTGACTAATACATTCTTGATCCTTTAAATTAACTTAAATGTAACGATAGTTTTTTTTATAATAAACTAGTGGAGCCCACAGACGTTGTCCTGCATGATATTTAAAGCGATTAGGATATTAAGCAAAGTATGAAAGTACCGACTGCAGTGCCATCTGCCGGGCTGATTTGTGAATCTAAACCATTCCCAGATCCCCTTGAACACACACAAAAAATTTCATCAAAATCGGTCCAGTCGTTTGAGAGAAGTTCAGTCACATACACACGCACACAAGAAATATATATATTAAGACTAGTAACTTATAAGTTTTCATGTTGAGTTGTATTAATTTTTACCGCAATTAAACGGTTGAATTTCTTCTCTCCTGAAATAGTATAGAAGGAATGGGTCTTAGGGTAGATTATATATTATTTTAATTACTTAAAAAATTTTTAGTGTAACTAAGGTTAAACTATGATTTCGTATTTATAGAATTTTAATGAGATTAACTACAATAAAAAAATTAAAATAAAATTGATGTTTCATTTCATGCAATATTTGTTTATTATCCTTTAAAAAAGTAAACAATAACAAATATTTAAACATCTAAAACGTACACATATATCTTCAATTTATTGTTATTTATGTATTATTTATTTTATTATTGCATAATAGAAATTTAGAGTAATTTAGAAAATGTATTAATTATTTAAAGTGAAATAATTTTATTAGTAGAAGATAATGTTTTGAAAAGCAACAGAGATTTATAAAATTGAAAATTTTAAACCACTTTTTTTTTTTGTTTTTGTTTTGTATGAGCTTATAAATATTAAATTTAATTTTTAAAAAAACTGGCTTTGTGTTTGATGAAATTATTATATATTATCCTATTAATTAGTTTTGTGATTTGGCTTTGTTAATGGAGCTTGAAATATAATATAAAGTAATATGGAGAGAGAGAGTTCTATCTTAATAAAAACATTAAAGGGTAGGAATAAGATAATAAATGCCTAAAGTTATGTTGGAACTAATAAAACCAAAATCCTTATTTAGGTAGATAATTAAAAGAAAACGTATTTTAAAAAGGTATTAAATTGATCCTGATGATATTACAAATTCAACTTATAAAACAGAGGATGCCAAACCTACAATTAAATATTATTATTAAGGCATAAAAATCAATGGATATTTTCAGGTAATATTGTGTTCATAAATATGTATGGTTTTTAATTTGATATATTATACTCTTTAAATGATTTTAAATAATATTTGAAGATTTTGTCTTCTATTTCAGAAAATAAATATATGTGATAATAATAATTTATTGAATTAAGATGTGTGTGGTGATCTGAAACATAACAATCTAAGTCTGTTTAATTATAAATAAAGTTTTGAGAGTTGAGTAAATTACTTCCTAATTTGTAAATTTTCTAAGAAATATAACACAGCCATAAGAAGTTTGAAGAATTAGGAAGATCTAATATACCATGCTAAACAGTATAATGAGTATTGACTGCACCCATATAAAAATTAATAGACCAAAGTATCACTATCTGAAGATACAGAAATAAAAAGGGTATTTTTCTGTAAATGTGCAAGCAATAATAGGGCCTATATGGAAATATTTGCTATAGTGATAGGTGGCCTGGCATTAAACAGCAGGATATTTAGAAAATGCCTTTTTAGTATGAAGCTTATCCACACTTAACTTCATGTTAAAAATTTTAAATCCAATAAAGAGCTGCCAATATTTATAATTATTTAAATAAGAACTAGGCATATTTTTTAAAGGTTTTTGAGTGTGATAAAGGAAATTTCCATGTTTAAGCTAGGACTACAGTAAAATTGAAAATATAGTTAAATATAATTATAGTTTGTGTTGTATTGCATAATATAGGTATACAGAGAGGGGATCCTATGATGATGGTGATCTTGCTGACAGCAGAAGTTGAGTAACAAGAAACAATGAAAGATCTCCTAAGGTCTAGCATTCGGCAATCTGTGATTGCACAATTTAACTAGGTAATTTGTTTGGTAATAAAGAATATCAAAACAAAACTTTTTCATTTTAATATTTATTTTCTGATTCTTTTTTTAAGTGTAATAATATTTTAATATAATTTATATTTTTGTTGAAGAAATTCTATTTCTAAAGATTTTTTAATTTCATATGTTCCACTCTATCTCAAATTTTTTAGGGTAGTAGGTAATAAATGGTAGAAGATTAGGGAAAGAAAATAACAGATGTGAAGCGAGAGACATCGGTTAGGTTATAGTTTGAATTTCTTGTCACTATAATATGCCAGGGCTCCAGGTGACATACAAAATCACACCAGTTATTTTTAAGATTTCTCAAAAATGGGGTTTGAACAATTACATAAATAATATAAATAAACAACAATAAATACCATAATAATGTGTAATTATTTTATTTCATGCATTTCATAGGTATTTATAAGATCATTTATAATTTCTTTGAATTAAATTCTATTTTTCCCAAAGTCTATGGAATCCATACAAAATGGCAACACCGTTCATTAAAAACCGACAAAAATAAAAAGTCCAGTAAAAGATATGATGGTAAAGCAAATTTTAGGCCATTATTTTTGTTAGGCTTATAGTCAAAGTTTTTGGTAAGTCGTCGATTTCGTGGACTTGAGATTAAGCTAAGCCAACACTAGGGAGAGATTCGCAGTTTGCTCTATAAATACCGACTGTGTCTTAGCTCGATAGTTAAGTCAGAGCAAAGTCTAAGTGCGCACTATAGATCTCACCCTTAAAGAATCTATAATATACCTAACAATTATACCCATTTCAAATATTTTTTATTGTATTTTGAGTTCCATCATATAATGTGGCGTAATAAACATAATTTTTCGTTTTAGGTAAACTTATTTCTTCAAAAATGATATCTAATATCATAGAGGAGGCTGAGCGTGAAAATGGCGGAAAGAGAATTTACATAACAGAAAAGACTGCACAAATCCTAAACACATCCTTAATTTTAGAAAATTCAAATGTCACACCATTTAAAAGCCGGAATCGATCCGGTTTTCCTTGCTTTTACTGCAGGAGTATCTTTGAAGATTTGCCAAATTTAAAAAGTCATCAAGATAAACTACACTCCAAAGCGGACATAAAACGATCTTTAAATGCATACGGTGCTGAATGTTTGGTCGTTTACGTCGATATAACTGATTTAAAGTGTAAATTATGTGATAAAGGAATGCCTAACTTGAACGAATTAAAAACACATTTAACGAGAATACACAAAAAGCACTTCTACTCGGACTACACAGATCGGGTGATACCCTTTCGTCTGGTCCATCGCGAAAATAAGTTCGAGTGTCAGATGTGTGGTTTTACATTCGAAACTTTTGGTTCAATTGAACGCCATATGAATGTTCACTTTAGGAATTATGTGTGCAAAGAGTGTGGGACGGGTTTTGTGACAAAATATCGTTTGAAAGTGCATACAAAAAGTATGCACGTTGGCGGGAGTTACCCTTGTGAGATTTGCAAGAAAGTCTTCACAACGCAGCAAAAGCATAAAAACCATGTCGATGCAGTGCATAAATTAGTGAAACGGTTTAAATGTCCGCACTGTCCGGAGCGTTTTTCTGAATATTTCAAAAGGCAGAAACACATCGTCGAAATCCACAACGGTCCTCCTTTGCAATACAAATGCAATGTGTGCGATAAATCATTCGATAGACGATATACTTTATCCAGACATATGAAAAGAGATCATTTGGAGGAAAGGGATTTTCAATGTCAATTATGTGCGTACAAGTGTTTTACAAAGAATGAGTTGAGGGTTCATATGGTTAAACACAATGGGGAAAGGATTTTTGAGTGTTCCGTCTGTCATAAGTCATATGCAAGGAAGAAAACTTTAAGAGAACACATGAGGATACATAATAATGATAGGAGATTCCCATGTGCGGTTTGCGGGCAAGCGTTTGTGCAGAAGTGTAGTTTGAAGGGACATATTAAAACACATCACGTAGATTATAATTTACCAATATAATATATTATAAAATCTAATGTCTTTTAATTATTACCGTCTTTAGACTCATAAACACTAAATTAGGATTTGTTGGCACTTCTTAATTTATCTCATTTTATTTTATTTTTCTTATTAGTTTGAGAGGTTTTGTAATGCAATGAAGATCAATAAATACACTGTTTGAATTTCTCATTGCCAAATTGTTCTTGAAAAATAAAATTAACAAATCAGTGGCGTTTCCTTGTTAGGTCTGGGCCTCAAATTTCATGATCATAATATGTCAATAATATGCAAGTATCAGCCTCCAGCCTCCTATGCCTGACACACGCCGTCGACATTTTGGGTCTAAGGCAAGCCTTTTCCTCACGATGTATTTCTTCACCGTTCGAGCGAATGTTAAATGCGCACATAGAAAGAAAGTCCATTGGTGCATGCGGGCATCGAATTAACAACCTCAGGGATGAGAGTCGCACGCTGAAGCCACTTGGACAACAATGTTCCAAATTGTTCTTGAGCTGTGATAATATATCCACAGTGTATCCTTTTTTATCTCGTACGTGATGTACGAAACAAATGGAAATTACTAATAAATTCGTATATTAATATCTAATATACACTAAATTTCGGGAATGTATCGCTTCAGTATCAATATTTATAAACACTGTTGAAAAATTAAATCTCTGCTTTTCATCAAATATAAGCAGGACGATTCAAAATTCGCGATACATTTTAATGTCAGAAAGTTGTGTCTGCCGCTGGCGTTGGTTGTCCATGGGCGACGGTATCACTTAACATCAGGTGCGCCTCCTGTTCTTTAAAAAAAACTTACATTGTCTTAATTAAAGCGACAGCAATATTCGTTAATGGTTTCCGACGGCAGCTATCGTGGTAATTAAAAATCACCTAGCACTGATTAGATTTCTTTTTTTTCGTAATGTGATATGGAATTTCGTTTTAAACAATTACTTGAACCTACTTTAACAAATAATTGGAAACCCTTATTTAAAAAATGTCGTGAAATCGTAAATCTGTAAACACACACTGTAATTCTGCGATACTTTGCTCGCCCATGTTTTAGTCTAGTTCAGTGTACAATTATATTTAGTCAATTTTAAGTTGGGCACTTTTGGTCTTAAACCGTTTTAGTTTTTGTATTTTTTTTCTTTTATAAGCGAACGATAAAAGCTTAAAACCCGTCGATGTTTGTATCTCGGAATTTACAATAACTGCCAGTTTCCAAATCAAGTGTGTAGAACGGGCGAGAACTGTCAAGAAACACTGCGACACACTATAATCACCATTTTGAATAACTCTGGAGACAGAATCTTCCCCCAAAACATTGGTTTCCTCAAAAGGTAAAAATACAATATGACCAAGTATTTATTACGTCCATAGAAACACCCTCATCTGGGCAAATACAGCTTCAGACATTCGTTTAAATGTGGGCAAATGTCAAATAAAACTCGAGTAATAAATATTATAAACTTTTATTAATTAATACCTAACGGGTATGGAGACGTTATAGCGAAAGGGTAAAACAAACGTACATAAATTTCCATTTAATTTACGATAAATTACAAAAATGAGTTACAAATATAACAAATGATTACTGGTACAAAACAATATGAATGGTACTTGAGGCTGAAGAAAAAATTTTTAATCAAACTCCTGATTTGTATTCAAATTAAATAAATCAGTGACGCTACAATCTTTTTAGGTTATCTCAGATTTTTGTATCTGTTTCATAATCAATCTAATTGGCAAGTAGGTGATACACGCCGTCGACTTTTTGTGTCTTAGGCATGATATTCCTCACGATGTTTTCCTTCGTACTGGCGAATGTTAAATGCGCACATAGGAAGTCCATTGGTGCACGCTGAAGCCACTAGGCCAACACTATACTAAGTGCGCTGTAGCATTGACAGTTGCTCGAACAGTCTGGCTGGGTAAAATTTAAGTTACTACAGTTAATGATTTAAAATATTACGAATGTGGTACAGCTGAAACACTAAGTCATAATATGTAAAATCAACTTTCAAGAGTGAAACGAAACGTTACTAAAACTGTCACTGCATCTTGCCACAGCGCACATACAAAGAAATACTCAAATTCATATTAAGTGGAATTGTGGCTACGAATGTCACCAATGTCAATGTCACAGCGGGATATATTACATTGTAGGTTTAAAAAAATATGTAAACTTCAAAAATCGATTTAGGAAATGTTAAAAGTAATATCCATTCATATCGTATCGTACCAAATATTTAGCCTATGAGTTATAACAATAAACATGTCCTTAACTAAATAAATTATAAAGAAAATTTGGTACGAGACATCCAATTATTGGATAGATTATAAAATAAAGGGGGGGTGGGACACACGACGTTAAGGGGAGGGTAGAATAGGAAGAAAACTCACAACTCTGTTGGCAAGGCTTCCCGTTATTCATAGAAACGAATTCAGCCTGCAGGATTAACTATATCCGTCTCTTTTCATCGCAGCGTAAACACAATTTGACAGATAGCAACGAAAGTATACTCTGGTTGTTTCCCAACGGTTTTGGTGCCACAATACTAAAATTCTTATGCACATGCATAATTTTTAATAAAAAAATTGAATTGAATTAATTAGCTTAAGTGATAGGTTTTCGAGAAGAAATCACTAGGAAATTGTTAGCGAAACATCGTAAGTAAATTTTCAAAGATGAAAAACTATAATCGAATTTGAAATTTTTGAAGATTTTCGAGTGAATTAGTGTTTTTTCGTTACGTCACATTTTTCGGTTAGCGCCTCTAAACTTCTTTATCGGCGTTGGAATGAAACTTCTTTATCGACGTATGGGGGAAATTTTGTAGCAAGTCGTCACGTTTTTCAATGATTCTCTAATTCTATTACAATTAATGAAATTCTATAATAATCTTCGTAGTAATAAGGTAAAATGAAATATTTGTATTCATGTCTATGATAATAAAAGCCTTTTGTTAAACTTTATCTAATTTGAAGAATTTCTGTAAAGTTGCATATTAGTAGATCATTTTTCGAAAAATAAGATCATAAAGAAGTTTCACTTCTTACGTGTGTACACAATTTTTTTTAAATATATTTTCGATTAGCCCCCCTTAACAAGCCCCGTGTGGGGCACCACGTTGGGGAACACTGCTCTGGAGTGAGGGTAAAATCTCTAAAAACAGAACTGTAGAAAAGAAACGTCCATTTTACATTGGCATTGCTTCAAAAGTTTGAAGTTTACTTCCTAATCTAACAACGCAGACTACCAATCATAGACAAAATAATAACTTTAAAATATAAAAATTTCAAAAACTAGTCCTGCGTTGACATACAAAGACAATAGACGCCATTATCAAAATGGCCGCAGTATGTCAGTTTAAACTTAATCAATGAGTATATATTAGTCTTAATAATTAACTTAAATAAATAATACTTCTATTGGGCGATTGTAAAGTTCCTAGCGTCTTTTGGTTATCATACAGTACCGTGAACTGCTAAAAAAACTTTACAATACGCTATGAACGCCTCAGTTATGGTGGTCCTGATTTAATCCCCCGAAAGTCCTGCGATTCGAGAGTATAAAAATTTTCATCTACAAACAAAACCTTTAACAAATATTTGACGGAAAACAATTTCACAGTCTTCATAAAACGAGACACGATTTCGCGAGAAACAGATGACACTTCCACTAAACGTTGTTTGTTTTTTTTAAATGGCTCTGGCACGATTTGTGCATTAGCCAGCGTCAAGTATAGGATTTTTTATAATTCGTGCTTGTCTTTAGAAATTCGACCGTGTCCTCCATGTACGGTTTAAGAACTCGCCCGGTACCGCACAACCCTCCCAAAGGCCGAGAACAAATTTAAATTAAATTAAAACTCGCCCTCGAACCGGGAATCGAACCCGGTGCCCCTCACCTAGCTGTCACTTAATAAGACCGCTTGGCTGAGGCCCCCACTAAACGTTATTGACGTTGAAGTTATTGGTTAGTTATGTCACAGACCAATGACAAAATCACCACAAAGTCTATAGTTTGTGACGCTTTAGCTATCGTAATAAAAAGCTTCAGGAACAGTGAAGTTTTATTTAAACCTATATTACACCTAACCGACGGTTTATTTTGAGTTTATACACCTTAAACTATCAGATATATTCTTTATAAATAATTTTTCTATTCTAAAATATAACTTTTGCAAAATCTAGTTCATTTACACTTACCGTTTATTTGTTCAAACATGTTAGTATAGTCGTGATAAGGATTTTGTAGGGCCGAAGAGTAGAAATAACCAATAAAATGCCTAAATAAGAACATTTTTAAATGAATATCTCTCAAAAAGCGCCTATCAGAATTGTGTGCCACCAGTTTCATACCTTTCCATTCGTTATCATAGTTGGACTAAATAATATCTAATTCTTAATATTTTTCCTATTAACTAGAAGGAAATAGTATAATTGCCTCGAACGACCCTGGCAATGAAGATTACATAACACCATACTAATATTTAACATTTTGACAGTTGACATATAATACTTTAATTATGAAAAATAAATAGATATCTTGCTATACGGACAGTTGAAGCTAATCTAAGTTATTCTAATTTATTTTAAATAAACATTACATTGGTCATAATAGTTATTTACACTTAATTCTATAAATAAGATTCAAAACAAATTCGAAAAATTCATAAATGATTTTGTATATATATAAAGTATTGCAAAATAGACAATAGAGCGGATTAACGGATTATTTTTCAGTCACCGACATTTGACTAATCAAAATTGTCAATTATCAAAAAAGTCCAACTTTTCTTTGATATTGACCGCTCTGTCTTTTTAAATATATTATATTTGATTTTTATATAATTAAATAGAAATAACATATAATTCAACAAATTTTAATAGAGGAACATATTTACATGTCAAAAAACTCATGTCATTTGAGGACTATGAAATGTCACAGACAATTTTTTTTTTTATTTAAAAACCTATATATTGGTGCCAAACAAACATAGACTATGCAAAATTTATCCTTATTCATAAAAACTAAATCAGACTTGAAAAACTTTAAATGAGATAAGTGTTTCCGTTAAAATAGTTTAGTTCTTATGAATAAAGATGGAAAAAAATATTTGAAACAAATTATTTTGTAAATGGACATGTAAGCACATTATTTGAAAAGGGTTTTTGGACAAACTACAGATTATATTTTGACCCAAAACCTCTATCTATAATCAATAGTTTCTTGTACAGATCCACATACTTTTCTTGGTCGACGGCTGAAATTGGTACTACCGTCGCCATTTTCAAATGTCACACTAATATTGTTAGGTATCTAAAAGATATTATAATAATAGTACAGATACCAAAACCTATCTTAGTTGTTATATTAGTTGTTCCTAAGTTTGTGTCACATTTATTTAACTATACTATATATAGATACTAGTATAGACTGTTTTATTTAGTCTTCAAATTATTCCCCTTATAATGGTTAATTTTTATTAATTGGCAATACTAATCCATGACTGCGACGCTCTTACCGGCCAAGAAAAGTATGTGGCACTGTAAACGAGTTATCTCATCTTAATAGCTCTCAAATCTTGGGAAAGATCACACATTAAAAATAGTTTTAACATCCCAATACGGGCAAGGTCTTTTGACCTTAGTTTTAAAGGCTAGACGTTACGGATAGACAGGGCTAAACATATGGAAATTAACCACAGAGTATTATCACGTTTCATCCTTGTCGCGTTTCGCGGCTATTATTGTCAGATCCGGTCGTGTTTTCATGAGTTGTGAGGGAGAGGGAGTGTTTTCGCCACCTCGAAGCGACTCTATGCTCGCTACGCGGATCGATGGCCACGCATTGCCTATCAATAATATTGTATTAATGAAAAACTGACCATATAATCTTTCGTTACGACCACAAAATACTTATAAAATCAATCAAACTAATCAGCGAGACAGAACAAAATAATTTATACATTTTTTTGTGGCTTAGAATGAAATTTTTGATGCACACCTAAGATATGAAAGAGACAGAAGTATATCTGACTGAATGAATTCTTAAAAGACCGGCAACGCACTCGCGAGCCATCTGGCACGAGTGTCCATGGGCGGCAGTATCACTTAACATCAGATGAGCCTCCTACCCTTTGCCTCCTGTTCTATATAGCTTATAGCTACTATATATGGAATAATAGATAAGAATTTTATAAATACTTACTTTGATTAGGTTGTGGTGTGAATGGTGTTTCAAAAGAGCTGGCTGATAAATCCTCCTCTATATTCCCTGGAGGTTTCTTTATCTGCTGAACCGTTTAACGTAATATAATATATATCAGGAAATGTTCTGATTGAGACAATTATTATTATTGCTTTAGTCAATCATTGAGATTTCTTCTATTACTTATAAGAATCATAATTTAATTTGCCACTATTTGTTAGTTTGGAATTATTGACTTTGCATCTTGACTTTGGACAGTACGTTCAGGGAACGTAGTACTGATTGAGTATTCAGTGCAACTAGCTGTTCGTTATTTAAGCTAAAGTGTTATTTGGTAGTGTTAAAAGGAAATCTAAATGAAATTCATCACATGACCCACTTAACTCGCTAATGACGATCTGAATATCGGTGAAGTAACGATTTTTCTCGGACAAATATCTTGTTTTTAAGAGTTGGAACTCGATCGAGACTTGTAATATAGAGAACTTACTTCCTTGGCCCATACACAAAATTTACTTTCTTGGCATACACAAAATTTACTTTCTTGGCAGATACAAAACTTACTTTCTTGGCATACACAAAATTTACTTTCTTGGCAGATACAAAACTTACTTTCTTGGCATACACAAAAAACTTTCTTCTCACAAACCTACTTTCTTGGCATACATAAAACTTACTTTCTTGGCATACACAAACTTTGACCTTTCTTGTCATACACAAACTTACTTTCTTGGCATACACAAAACTTACTTTTCTTGGCATACAAAAATCTTTACTTAATCTTGGCATATATAAAACTTACTTACTTTCTTGGCATACACAAAACTTGCTTTCTTGTCATACACAAAACTGACTTTCTTGTCATACACAAAACTGACTTTCTTGGCATACATAAAACTTACTTTCTTGGCATACACAAAACTTACTTTCTTGGCATACAGAAAACTTACTTTCTTGGCATACACAAAACTTACTTTCTTGGCATACACAAAACTTACTTTCTTGGCATACACAAAACTTACTTTCTTGGGCAAAAAAAAACACCTTCTTTCCCCCCCCCCCCCCCCCCCCCCCCCCCCCCCCCCCCCCCCCCCCCCCCCCCCCCCCCCCCCCCCCCCACAAACACTTACTATCTTGGCTACATAAAACACTTTCTTTGGCATACAAAAAACTTGACTTTCTTGTCATACACAAAACTGACTTTCTTGGCATAAACATACAAAAACTTACTTTCTTGGCATACACAAAACTTACTTTCTTGGCATACACAAAACTTACTTTCTTGGCATACATAAAACTGACTTTCTTGGCATACATAAAACTTACTTTCTTGGCATACACAAAATTTACTTTCTTGGCAGATACAAAACTTACTTTCTTGGCATACACAAAACTTACTTTCTTGGCATACATAAAACTTACTTTCTTGGCATACACAAAACTTGCTTTCTTGTCATACACAAAACTGACTTTCTTGTCATACACAAAACTGACTTTCTTGGCATACATAAAACTTACTTTCTTGGCATACATAAAACTTACTTTCTTGGCATACACAAAACTTACTTTCTTGTCATACACAAAACTGACTTTCTTGTCATACACAAAACTGACTTTCTTGGCATATACAAAACTTACTTTCTTGGCATACACAAAACTTACTTTCTTGTCATACACAAAACTTACTTTCTTGGCATACATAAAACTGACTTTCTTGGCATACATAAAACTTACTTTCTTGGCATACACAAAACTTACTTTCTTGGCATACAGAAAACATACTTTCTTGTCATACACAAAACTGACTTTCTTGGCAGGTACAAAATTTACTTTCTTGGCATACACAAAACTGACTTTCTTGGCATATACAAAATTTACTTACTTTTGTAAGAACTGCATCTTTTCTGCTATAAGATCGTGGACGAAGAGTCTGATCGAACGCCAATTCGATGTCCGCGTCTGAAATGTGGAAAGTTTTTTAAACGTTAGGTTTATTAGTGACTTGTGTTGGCTCAAAGACCTTTCAAGTCTCCGATTTCTGTGTATTTCGTGATATGTTTTCTAAAATAAGTAGGTTAGCCATCTGTGTCTGACACGATTTGGGTCTGAGGCCTCCCCCATGATACGAGGGAAAAAATTGCCATTGGTGCACTTTATGACAGTCTGAAGACACCAGACCAGCACGGCTCGGTGATCGTAGAACAATGTCGGATTTGAAAAAAAATTCAAAAATCTACTTTTTATTATATTTGGATACTACATTGACTAAATATTACGGCTACATTAAAATAAAATCCGTGTGTTTTAAATTTCAAATTAATCAGTCGGTAAAGTGACGGATTTGATAGAAACATGTGATTTTTCTAGAAAACTGTGTAATTTAATGTTAGTATTTTTATTTTGTTTCAAAACAAACCCTTTTGTTGCTTGTATGCCAATTTTCATAATAACAGAATATAAAAAAAGTTATGACAAAAAAACTAACATGATTATATTTTTTGAAATGGCTGGCCCTATAAAGTTTACTCTTTGTCAGATCTTACTGAATATGAATATAAAATTTCATAAGAATCGGTCGAGCCGTTTCGGAGGAGTATAGGAACGAACATTGTGACAGGAGAATTTTATATATATGTATAAGATAATCATAAATAAAAAAAAGGGTGCGTGTACCTATGTACGCGCGTAAGAAGTTATACTTCTTTGGCATTATTCTAAATAGTTTTTGATTGCATGCAAATAATTAATTACAATTAAATAATCAAAGACTGGAAAAGGAGTCATTATAGTCAATAAAGTTGAGTTTACATTTGAAAAATTAAATAAATAAATATTTATTATTATTCTCTTACATTAAGTGTAACATAAATTCTATTATTATTCGAATGTTGTTTTTAAATTATGTCCAATGCCGTAGCATCTTCCGTAGGCAACTTCATTCTATTAATTTAGTGTCACGGTACGCGTGCATCGTAAAATTTCACTCTCATAAATTTTTCATAACGCGCCTAAAGAAGTATAACTTCAAAAATATTAAAATAGATCTCGTAAAAGGTAACTCTATATTTTAGTACGAAGGTCTATTTGACATTGTCTGATACTCACTCGCGTCTTCTTTCTTCCCTTCAGACAACTTGGTTATATCTGGCATGTACGCTGGCAATGTGTATCCTGCAACTGAATTATTAATTGTTATAACACTTGAAAGGGCCCAGTGGCGTAATAACCCCCGGATGAGCTTACAATGCTAAGACAAGTAGGCGAATTTGGTTTTCTGTAATTTTTTGAAGTTATACTTCTTTAGGCGCGTTATGAAAAATTTATGAGAGTGAAATTTTACGATGCGCGCGTACCGTGACACAAAATCTCATCAAACACGCACGCCGCCTCTGTTCACTGTGTATTTATATTTATAATATGTATCCACATGCTTTGAATTTCTACATTTAAAACACGTGTTTTCATTATACAAGTGCGAATTTTATATGTGCATCTGAATTATAATCAGAAGTAAATATTCAATTTAAATCAATACTAATTAATATATGAAAATATAAGTGAAAAAAACTGTGCTTATCAACCCTCCTAAGTGCTTTGAAACAATTGAGGTTATTTTTGTGACAAATGGGCAACTGTGGTAGATACCCATAGTCACTCTTCTTTTTGACTTAGACTCTTAATGCCAGAAGCTCGCAAGTGACGGCCTTTTAAGAATCGGTCAGCTCTTTGAAGGACCTGAGTGGAATTGGTTCAGAAATAGCTACTGCCCATGGACACTCATTGCCAGAGGGCCTGTGAGTGCGTTGCCGGCCTTTAAATAATTGTCCCTAAGTCGAATGGGTTCAGAAATACGTCCAAATCCAGGTGGTACTAGAGAATGGACACGTCAAAAGTACCCATAACCATGCATGGTGAATGTCATGAATATGACTGAAGCCCCCTCCCGAAGAGGTAGAAGCTCATGGCAAGTGGAGGTCTGATTAGAGTTTAGTTACGAACACCGTGACACGAGAATTCTATATGTCGGCGGTAGTTGATAGTTGGTACAAATGAGACGGCGTTATCGAGCGCTATCGACACAGGTGTGCGCGCAGGTGCGTGAGCAGGTGTGCTCGCACCTGGACCTGACGTCATTGCCCCACTACATCTCAGGTGTATAAAAACCCGCCTCGCCGCTGTATCGACACGCATTGTTTCTGAATGCGTCGAGGTGCATGGACCGCAGTCTTAACTGACTGTCGCCTCTTTCCCTAACTGCTATTGCGTTATATTGACTAAATTATTAATTATTGTATTTCATGGTTTAGTTCTGATGTCTGGGTCTATTCCTACATATATATTAGAATATTGCCACGAATAACTTTAATTACTTTAGCTTTTGTACTAAATATGTAAAAAATCAATAATTTCCGACATAAAAACGCGCTTTTGTCTCTGAATCTAATCGTAATGTCAAAATAACAACTTGATAACAGTTTTTACCACGATTGCTGAAAAGTATTCGTAACAAGAAAAAAATCGTAAAAAAAAATACCTTCTGGTTCAGCAACGTACTTTTTTTTTTACGTAGGCTGCAAGCTTCGTAGGGTTCACTCCAAGGGCCAAAGCTGCGGCCTCCACGTTCAGCTCCCCCCTCTGAAGCCGGTCCAAGACTTCCGAAGGTCCTTTCGCTTGCCAAAAGTCACGGGCCGTTCTAAAAAAACAATTTAATCAGTGGCGCTACAACGTTTTTTAGGCCTGGGCCTCAGATATGTGTATCATGATACATCCTACTAATAGGGAAGTAGGTGATCAGCCTCCTGTGCCTGACACGTTTCCTCACGATGTTTTCCTTCACCGTTCGAGCGAATGTTAAATGCGCACATAGACAAACAGTCCCTTGGTACACTGGGGATCGAACTTATGACCTCAGGGATAAGAGTCACACGTTGAAGCCACTAGGCCAACACTGCACTTTTTGTACAATAAAGTATAAATGCTAATTTTAATGTTAATGATTAAGAATAAAGATGAGAAGATTATTACAAGGTAGAAGAGAACTACTCAAGAACAACAGAAGTTTAAAGAGCTCTCCTGGGTTCTAGATCCAAGGAGTAAGGAGTAAGTAGTAAGGAGTTCCAAAGATGGAGTGATAGAGTTCAGTTTTATGAGTAGGAGTTTCAAGAATTAGATTGTCAAGGGTACGCAAAAAAAACTTTAAAAATCTGAGATTGAAAAGGACATTTGAATTTGTGAAATAGTGTTAGTGCATAAGTCTTAAGTGCTAAGTGAAAAATAACACAAGAACAGAATCCCTTAATAGAGACTTAAGTAGTATTGGACACTTTGTCATTATTATGAGTAAATTTAGACGTTACTTTGTCTAAATTAGGTTAGATCGTAATATTCAATGTCTCAGTGAAGAGACAATTTAATAAGTAATAGACTCGTTCATAACATATAGAGATCTATTTGGAGCGTTTAAACTCACAAACTCACGATTTGGATTATTTCTGTTAGATTTTGGAACTAAACCAAGCAATTGAATATGTATCACAAGCGTGTCAAAGGTATCCAAAATCTGAATATACAGTCATAACCGTTTTAACTTTTAGAACAAAATACCGGTTAAATTGACGAAAATCAAAGGTCCCGGCTGAATTCTATTGTATGAGGTACTTAATAACAACGTCATCGGCTGTTACGAGTATTGGTTTTTACGACCAAATATGAGTAGTCCCTTCGATATCGTTATAACCGATTTAGACTGTATGAATAATAATACGATTTCATAATTAAATTATCATATATTGTGTCAACTCCATGTAACGCCCCTCTATTTAACGATCAACCCCTTAAAGCGTCCAATTCAATTGGCTTTGGTTGGTTTAGCTTGTCTTCCATACAATGATGCACTCTCTACATACACCCAACTCAAAACGGCAATTAAATAATAAAAAGCACTTTATAAGTTGCCGAAATTAGTTAAAACTGCGGGACTGTGTACGTTCTTTTGTCTTTATTGTCCTAGCCCGTAATAAACTCGACATCATACGTTCTGAACTTTCTGAGAAATCCGTTCGATTGTTTACAAATTGGGATTACTTGCACGTAGGTACTTTATCACAAAGATGCCTCAATATTGCAAGATATAAATAAAATAAGTAAAAAAATACAACATATTTGCTGGTACAGCAAAAGCGTTAGCATAACATACTAACACTAGTCTGAAATAAACTTTTTCTAATACAGATTTTTCATCTATCCATTTAACGACAACTCTTTGTAACGTCTAAATAAGCACAGTCCTTGAATTTCGTTATATAGAGTTTACACTGTATATTTATTATCGCGGTAAATTATTAATTAATATCGAAAATCGTACATACTGTCTTAAAATGATGCTCCCAGTCTTGTCCCTAGCGCAGGCCACGCCCCCGCCGATTGTGTCCAGCCCTTTACTTGTTGGTTCTGTGTAGCGAATAGTACTAGAACAATGCGATTAATATAAAGGCTGTTCTGTTCTTTTATTAATGCGACGGAAAGTCATTAAAAAAACGATTTATGCCTGCTTTAGTATGTCAAAAGCCTAACTTAAATGTTTAGATAATTGACAAGTAATAAATTTGTTTATTTGTTTTAGCTCGCTAATTTCAAAATATCTATTGTCTATCTGTAAGCGACGGGGGCATGGCGTTAAAAAAAGTTTATTATATAAATCTATTTAATAATTACCTATAAGGTCGATTAATGCAACCATAGACATCCCGATACCTTCCATACAAGGTGCCATAGCTCACGCCCAGGATTTCAGCGGCTTGCTTCATCTCTAGTTCTTTCATGCGTACTGCGTCCATAACCTATAAAAAGTTTACTTAATAAATCTACTACTGAATGTAGTCTGTGCGAAAAAAAGCCAGAGTTACAGTGCCAAATACTTTTCTTGGCAGGTAAGAGCGTCGCTGTCATGCAGTAGCGTAGCTACCTTGGGTGGCACCCGGTGCGCCAGTTGGTGGTGTCACCCCATAGAAAGTAAAAAGCAATAAATTTTATAAGATAAAGGACAAAGATCGCGAGTATGGGACGGGGAATCGCCCACAACCCCGAATTCTACATAGAGCTGAACTAGTGCTAGTGGAGGAATCCCTGAAAAATAAATTTTTATGCTAGCGATTTTTTTTTTGGTTACACATTGTTCTTAAAGTTGAGAGACCCCAAAAAAGGTGACACCCGGTGCTTCCCCCCCCCCATGCTACGCCACTGCTGTCATGGCTCCTATGTATATTATAGCCAATGAATAAAAATTACCAATAGAATTAAATTATAACATTGTAGACGACGACACGTCTAGGATGTTATGAAGTTCTTCATGGTAGCGAATATGTCAAATACCGTCGTAGCAAACAGGACCACGGATTCTTCGAAGAATCTTGCCCTCGAAAATAAGGAGAGAGATCTCGTCTTTCTTGCTAAGGGGCCGGGTTTCAGAACCATACGTGAGCACTGGTCGCAGCAGAGTTTTGTACAGACTTTTGTAAAACATCAACAACAATCTTTCATCTAAAAACCTATCAACAAAAACTAGGGATGTATCCGATACCGATACATCGGCGATACTTTGAGTTTGCCGATATTTAAATTACCGATACAACGATACTTTTCAAAATGCGCGCTTTAAAAAAGTAATGTAAACGCGCATCTTCTTTGATCTAGTTCGTTGCAAACGAGGCCCAGACTATCTATGCTCGGGGAATCCCCGCGATTTATTCAGTTTGTTATCTCTCTCATCCGCTTTATTCCCGCGTATACCATATCGAATTACAAAAATCTTATCAATGTTGATTTTAACTATGAACAGTTATTTATTTTAATATATTTATTACTCTTAATTCTTAATTTTAATAACTAAACCTTTAATCTTATTCAAAGTGTGTAACCTTCATTTAATTTTAATTTAATAAGCGTCGGTATCGTATCGACAAAAACGAGTATCGATGCATCCCTAATAAAAACATTGACTTCCGTCAGCCACTTGACACAAAACGGCCACAGATTAATAATAATAATTAAACTAGATGTTGCACAGATGATGTCTGTGCAACATCTAGTTTAATTTTGTCGCAGTATGACTCTTTAAACGAAATATCATTTGTCATTTAAGAATGACAATTAACACCTCAGACTTGACGTTTACAAGGACGTCACAGACGCCATCTTGTCTATAGCGTATTGGCGGGTTCTTGAAAATATGAATGTTTAAATACTGCAGAATTAATAACAATTTAGGTTAAAATTCCAGTTAAATACATACCCGTTTGACATAACTCTCTTCCCAGAACTGCGGTCGTCTTCCGTGCCTCAAATAATCGTTCAACTTCACGACATCCGAGAATCGCGGATCGACACCGCTTTTGGAAACTGTTATTAAAAAAAGATGTATATTCAGTCTGAAAGCACTTGATCTTACTGATTTAGGAAGTAGGAGATTAAGAGGAAATCTCATTGAATCCTATAAAATCCTCACTGGCCGCTATAATGTTCCAGGAATTGGGAAGCTCTTTATTTTAAGTGAAAATACACATTTGAGGGGTAGTTCTTTAAAACTTAAGACCACTCAACATAACAAATTCCCTAAAGAACTTTCTCCCAAACCGAGTAGTGGCCGACTGGAATAGGCTTCCGAAAAGTGTAATCAGTGCACCATCTCTGAACTCCTTTAAAAATAGGTTGGATAGTTTCTCCAAATCTCATAATACACGCGCTGCTTATTAAGCTGCTAGTGTGTTTATATACTAATAATAATAATTCATTTGACAAATCATATTAATGGGTAATATTTGGGAATTTGCTATTGTAAAAGAGTACCGAGAGTTTTTTACGCCAGCTTTTTCTCTCGGCCTACACCCTCTGTCTTAGCCGATGAGTAATTTAACGACGTGGAATAAGTGATACCTGTATCTTATATTCCATAATAAACATATTTTTTTTAAAAGAAATACCTGTCTAAAATCCCAGCTCTTCCATAATAAACTTAATAGTAAATTCCATAAAAATATATAATTTATTACAATCTTTTTGAAGTTATACTTATTTTGGCGCGTTAGGGAAAAATGATGAGAGTAAATTTTTACGATGCACGCGCACACCGTCACAAAAAACCGACACCCTGAATATCTGTCTAAACGTCGGTGAAACAAAAGAGGGAAACGTCCCTCTAAAGTGCATGAATAAAATTATTACGCCAAAGAAGTATAACTTCTAACGCGTGTGCACTGAACACACACGTTTTATTAACTGTTTTCTACACGCCTGTATGCATGTGAGTGTATGAGTGTGTGAGTGAGTGAGTGTGTTAGGTGTAATATCTAATAACCAATTTCTGGCATTGAGTATCCATGGGCGATATGACTTAACATGAGAGCTTCCTGCCCCTCTTGACATACAGAAGCCATTTATCCCTTTCAGGACCTGGTCAGGAAACTTACGTTTAGGCACGTCAAGGTGTGAAGTACTGGTGGTTGATGATGATGAAGACGCGTGGGCTGGAGCTTCAGGCATCGCAGACGCGCTATCATCGGACTCTTCATCTGTAACGGGAATATAGTTTATCGACGTTTCGTAGACAATTTTTGTAGTCTGTGGTACTATATGGAGGTTTGACGTTTGACGTATTCAATCCAATAAGCGCCATCTATCTACAGATTAGATAATTCTCGACTTGGCGGTATGATCGAAAGACTTTAGCCTGCGCCGTGGGCGAAAAAAAAAAAGATAATTTTCGTAAGATTTAACTCAAAGTTTTCTTCTTGTCGTTTTGTGGTTGAGGTAATTTGTTTAATATTTCTTGAATAAACGCGATGAAAAGGGAACTGCTCACATATAGATATAAAGTAATCTAGTGTATAGACTATAGAGTATATACGGAAAGAACCGTCTTGAGATTTGAGTACATTGTTACCCTTATTTGTATATAGACAACATAGTTTAACAGTAATCTTGATTTAAAAAAAAAATGAAATGACATATCATATATGAATTGTATTAGTTCGTATATCACCAAATATATAAATAAACAGGTCACAGAATTTGACAAAACTGTTAATAAACATTTTATGAACTTCAAAGAAGAAATTACAAAGTGACTTTGACGTTACTTTAACGTCACAGACAGGCACAGACTGGGAAAGATTAAATTTAAATTGTAGAGTGAAGTTAAGTCTATATGATTTTTGAAGTGAAACTTCTTTGTCGAGGTTGGAAAAAAATTTTGTGTAACATTTTTTCGTTACGCGTCACATTTTTCGGTTACGCGTCACATTTTTCGGTTACGCGCCATGTTGCTTTTTGAAGTCAAACTTCACTATCGGCGTTGGAATGAAACTTCTTTATCGACGTATGGGAGAAATTTTGTAGCAAATCGTCACGTTTTTCAATGATAGTAGTAATTCTATTATAAGTAATGAAATTCTATAATAATCTTCGTAGTAATAAGGTAAAATGAAATATTTGTATTCATGTCTATGATAATAAAAGCCTTTTGTTAAACTTTATCTAATTTAACGAATTTCTGTAAAGTTGCATATAGTGGATCATTTTTCGAAAAACAAGATCATAAAGAAGTTTCTCTTCTTACGTGTGTACACATAGTACACGCACAATTTATTTTTCCATATCTTCTTCTTGCATTAGGGAGCGTTCAAGTATTACGTAACGAATTTTGTGTCCTTTTGTAAAACGTTACGATGCGGGGTGGGGATTGAATTAAGCCGTTATTGTTAATATTATTTTCGACTTTGCAGTACTTTACACCACATAATGGTAACTTTTAGGTATAAAGAGTCACTGGGTGGTCACGAAACATTTTACTGTACTTGGGTACAGAAAAACGTTACGGAGCGTTACAAGGTCAAAAATCTCCAAAAATTGCGTGACGTAATACTTGAACACTCCCTTATCTGCCGTATGATTTTTTGCTATAACTGTTACCAAAGATGTCAGCTGTCAAGAAGAGAACTTTTACTTAACTGGATAATTATTAAACTTAGTAAAATGGACGCTTCCTAATTAACAGTTAAGTGTGTGTGGGGGTGTGTGTGTGTGTGTATGGGGGAATGTGTTTGTGTATGGGGGAATGTGTGTGTGTGGGGGGGTGTGGGAATGTGTGAGTGCGTTGTTACGTCTTCAAAATCCATTCGATTTTCTTTCGAGAGAGTTTGAAGATTAAATGGAATTATTCTTTATAGATTTTACTATACATGTAAGTATATTTTGAGAATAATTTTTACCAGGAACATATGACTTATAATCGATAATACAACAGTAGTCGTTTTTTTACACCTTAAGCCACCACCTTGATAGCTGGAAGTCTTCCACAGTTTCACAAGGTTTCACAGTTTCTTTTGCGAACTAGCGAACTGTCGAATCAACTCCCGATGGAATCTTCCCTGAGAGATACGACCTCCATCTGTTCAAAATTCGAGTGTACTCATCCCTCTTAGACCGGCAACGGCAACTAAAAATGGGCTGCGAAGACTGTTATTTTTGGGCGTCCGGCAGGCTTTGCCACCCTATTATTAAAAAATACGTGTGGCACTCGGGGACTGCCGCAGTAAAGCTATTGCATAGCATTTTTTATAAACTTTTGCAATATAATTATTTATTTATTTTTAGCAGTATTTTTTTTTCTTTGATATTAATTCAAGTTTTTTCTTTGATATTAATTCAATCTACCACTCTACCAGACTGAGACTAACACGCCTATCCGATCACGCTAAACCGATGTGAGACGCAGAATGCGTTCTGTCACGCACTAACGCGTATTGGCCGCACCTATATTACGTCATCGTGTGTTAGGTTTATTTCGTTACGGAATTTCTTGATTCGGTCGCCGCGCTCAAAGCCCGCGATAAAATCTATGCAATAGCTTAAAAAAAAACATTACCTGCACTATTGTCGCCGTCCACACGCAATTTGGTGTGCAAGAAAGACCCGATGTCCGTCGGCGCATCGCCCCATTCGTCGTCCGACCCGTCGCGCGACCAGTTGCCGGTTTCCGCGTCCGTTGCGCACCAACCAACTATTCTCTCGACTGAGATATTCTGGAATTACGTAACGTAAAACAATTGATTCAGTATTTCCTTCAACTGTGATTTTGTTCTGTTTAAATTAATCAGTTGCGCTACAACCTCTTTAGGTCTCGGCCTCAGATATCTGAATCTGTTTCATGATCATTTTTAAATACATAGGCAAGTAGGTGATCAGCCTCCAGTGCCTTACACACGCCGTCGACTTTTTGGATCTAAGACATGTCGGTTTCCTCACGATGTTTTCCTTCACCGTTCGAGCGAATGTTAAATGCGCACAGAGAAAGAAAGTCCTTTGGTACATAGCCGGGCATCGAACCTACGACCTCAGGGATGAGAGGCGCACGCTGAGGGCCAACACTGCCCCCTTTGGAGTAGTTTAAATTTGTTTTAATATTTTAAGAAATAAATGAGATTATAATAGTATAATATTATTAAATAACATCTACAATGACGACATAATATTAATAGGTTAAAAGACGACGTCGTAAACGTGACGGCATTCTGAATTGAATTATTATACAATATAATAATTAATTCAATTCATAAAAGTTCGCATTTTTTCATCAATATTTTCTTATGACGTTTGAAAATTATCGTCCGTAAACCGACTTTATAGACAACCAAATATTTTTGACGTGAAACTTCTTTAGGCGCATGTGGGTAAAATTTTTACGGAACGTTACGAAGATGTGCAGCGTTTTTGTTGAAGAAAAGGGAGAGACTGATTGAGAGAGTGAGAAGTGCGAATTAACTTATAGAAATTATATTTTTAAAAATGAAAAATTTCTTAAAGAGAATTTATGAAATATTAGTATTTTATATTTTATGCAAAATAATTTATTGCAAATCTCAAACGACGAATTCTAATTTAAAATGCCACGTGTTTTTATTATAGAAGAAATAATTAAAAAAAAAAAATAATAATTGTATCTTCGACACTTTTAATATTTTAATGACAATTAAATTCCTAACATATCTTCCTTTTTCCCTCCCTCTAAGTCTCGGAAATCTAAAGTTTTAGATTTGTATAAATATGAAAAAGACTTAAAAATTAGTTTGCCAAAGAAGTTTCACTTCTGACGTGTACTTTGTACGCACGAACTTTTATTTTCTGGAAAACGATGACTGTTTATTTAATAATTTATTTTAATTAAATAAAAAAATTCAAAAATAATTATATTACGAAATAAACATCTCCACACCGCGCCGTAAACAGGTAGTGTTAGATATAGGCTGTATAATATATATTATATACCTACACCATCGCATAGCGTGGGGACACGCCCATTGATTAGGTTTTATCCGTGGCTATAGATGTTATATTTGTTTCTTATTGGACGACAAGCAGGAGATATATGTATATAATATAGGGATATATATAGATTCAAGCTTATATTTTTAAATCGTAAATTACAAGTCATTAATACGATTTTATAAAAAAAACTTATTCATTTATCTGTGTACTCGCGTAATAGATAATGTTACTTACCAAATTGCCGTGTTGCCAGGCATGGTCCTTTTCTCTGTAAAAAAAAAACAGTGATGTATGTAGTTTGGGCGGTAAGCGTGAGGTTATACAGTGGTACTATATGGGCCACAGATTGCATACGTTTCATAGACATCCAACCTAGAAATATTGTGTCAGACAGTTTTTGTTGACAGTGATAGTTTGATATTTATAAAAAAACTAGCTGACCCGACAAACGTTGTTTTGCCATGTATATTATTTCTAAGAAACATTGTTTTAGTTGAATAAAAATAGGGGTTAATCGTAGAGGGGTGAACAACAAACAAAAATTAAAAAAAAAAAATTTTTTTGGGTAGGACACCCCTTATCATTTTTGAAGGTTGTTGAGGTTTGAAATATAGATAGTAGCCGATTCTCATACTGAATATGCATAAAAGATTTAATAAGAATCGGTCGAGCCGTTTCGGAGGAGTACGGGAACGAACATTGTGACACGAGAATTTTATATATATAGAGATATTGTTTTAAATGTATGGTCATTATTTTGGAAATAAATAAACTCACGTTTTAATATTATTTAACGATTCGTCATCCATGTGTTCGTTACCGCTTATGAGCCTTTGGCGTTTCGGACTTTGACTCTCCCTGAAAAAAAAACCACATTTTAAATTAAAAAAATAAACCAGTGGCACCAGAACCTTTTTAGGTCTGGGCCTCAGATTTCTGTATGATTCAATATAATAAACAAGTAGGTGATCAGCCTCTTGTGCCTGACACATGCCGTCGAGCACCCAACACGGTACGGTAAAGGCAAGCCGGTTCCCTCACGATGTTTTCCTTCGTACGAGCGAATGTTGAATGCGCACATAGAAAGTCCATTGGTGCACAGCCAGGGTTCTACGACCTCAGGGATGACAGTCGCACGCTGAAGCCACTAGGCGAACACTGTTGCTAGCTATTTAACTGTTTTTATTTAACTGTTCTCGGAACAGCTGTATATTTTTTATAATTTAGATATATATGGGGGTTTTTATCTATCTTTCAGTAGATAATGTCTTTATGTAGCTGTAGTACACTTTGCTCTATTGTCAATAGTTTCAGCTTACGAATGGCGATTGTTATAGATATTTTTACACAGATTAATGAAGTTTTCATATGTATACCTAACTTTTTTAGATATATTCTGTAACCTATGTAGGGTTCTAATGGTGAAATTTTTTTTAAACGATCCAGTTTCCGAGTCATTATGTTAGTGAAGGTATACCAATAGTAATGACAACTTCAGCCTGACAAATAAAAATGGCGGAAAACGGAACATTACAATGTCAATCTTCAAGGTGGTATATTACTTATGTTATTGGTGCGTTCCACTAAGCGTTCACAACGCTCACGCTCACGACCGCTGATTTCCCCATTCCACTTGATTGTGAATGTTACTGTCGTTAACTCAAGTGGAATGGATTATGGAGCGTTTCGGGCGTTCATGTAAATATTACAAATGTCAAGTTTGAAAATAGTAGAATTTTAAGGAGGTTAGGTAATCATAAACAATAAGTTTTGATATTTGTGACTTAAATTTATTTATGTTAAAAGTGAAGAATAATTGAATATTTTATAAATAATTTTGGTGAAGTTATCAAACAACTTAAGTTTAAATATAATCGAAATGGCTTTACAATTTCTCTTTCTGAATCAAATAATGTGATTTTTCTTGTCGCCATCTTTAAGCTTTGAATATTATTATTTGTCATATTTCAAAAAAAAAAAAAATTGCGCCAAATTATTCTCAACGTTCACAACGACCCACTCTTTAGATGGGTCGTTGTGAGCGATGCGTGAGCATTTGTCATGACGTCATGAGTGACGTTTCGCCGTGACCGCGGTCGGTAGTGGAATGCCAAAGGAGCATTTTGATCGTCGTGAGCGCTTAGTGGAACGCACCATATATTGTCATATGTACATTGTCTAAGTGATTTGAGGCCACTTTTTTTTTAATGGCTCTGGCACGGTTTATGCATTAGCCAGCGTCAAGTATGAGATTTTGATCATTCGTGCTTTTTGCCTTAGACATTCGATCATGTCCTTCATGTACGGTTTAGGCACTCGCCCGGTACCGCACAACCCTCCCAAAGGCCGAGAATAAATTTAAATTAAATTAAAACTTGACCTCGAACCGGGAATCGAACCCGGTACCCCTCACCTAAAAAGGTTGTATGAGGCCACTTTACGAGTTCAATTCAAAGCAAACACAAATTTATTACCGGCTGTTCTGTGTTTTCGTATCTTTTAAATTAAAGACTCTTTCAGATTAAACACTAAATGGTCTAAGATCCCGCTATACAACGACCTTCACCGAGATGCTTATTTAATGAAACTTATTTTATATATAATTTAATATGTCAATAAATATAATCCATATGGGTTGCCTAGCAAATTTCAGTCCAGAGTATGTTTAATTAATTTAAAAAAAAATATATTTTTAAACATTTCACCGGTATGATTATTAGATAAATTCTATACCAATCGAACGTATGAAGCCCATAGAATATGCAAACGTTAGGTTGTTTTTAATCAATTAATTATTTATGTGTATATTTTTTATGTGACACTAAAGTATATATACATCTTTAGTATAAAAGAAGGTTATAGTGATACATATATAATACTACCCTGATTAAAAATATTGATTGAAAAAAGTTCAAAAAATTTACTACATGCAAATTATAAAAAAAAAATTTTTTTTTAATATTAATTAAACATACTCTGGACTGAAATTTGCTAGGCAACCCATATGGATGAAATTTATTGACATATTAAATTAAATATAAAAAAAGTTTCATTAAATAAGCATCTCGGTGAAGGTCGTTGTATAGCGGGATCTTATACTAAAATTAGTTATACTGTTTTAACTAAATCGCTATTTTGATCACGTCGTTTCGTTTCTCACGCGTAATTTGACAGATCCAGCGTGTTCAGCCTTGCGATTCTGTAACTCACATTTCGAACTCGCACAGCGGTTTTCGCAGCGGCGGTCGCGCTCAAATAAGTCGTGAAGCAGTCATTTTACGATTTGGCATTCTGATAAGAAGGGAGCTTGTAGTTTATTGTTTATGAATGCCAAATCGTAAAATGACTGCTTCACGATTGATTTGAGCGCGACCGCCGCTGTTCCACTCGACAATCATAAAAATCTGTCAACTTGTCAATCTGTTATCTATAAATCGCGCGTAATGTGACAATTAAGCCATAAAAAGCAAAATAAAAACGTTTGTATGAATAATTGTCTGCGCAATCACTAAATTGTCATTAAATTATATCGTTTTCCATTTGCATGACAGTTAGGTGACGGTTTTGGGTCATTGCAATTAAATTTTTACCATAATTAACTAAAAGGGCTACTTTCGAAAACTATGAAGTATTATCTACAAAATTGGCCGTAAGTATATTTTTGAAGTTATACTTCCTTTGGCGCGTTAGGGAAAAATGATGAGAGTAATTTTTACGATGCGCGCGCACACCGTCACAAAAAACCGACACCCGGAAGTTAGCTATAGTCAACATTTGTGTTTTTTAGAAGTTACTACTTTTGGCGCGTTAGGAAAAAAATATGAGAGTAAATTTTTACGATGCGCGCGGATAACGTCCCAAAAAACCGACACCCGGAAGTTAGCTATAGTCAACATTTGTGTTTTTTAGAAGTTACTACTTTTGGCGCGTTAGGAAAAAAATATGAGAGTAAATTTTTACGATGCGCGCGGATAACGTCCCAAAAAACCGACACCCTGAAGTTAGCTATAGCCAACATTTATGTTTTTTTTAAAGTTACATACTTCCTTTGGCGCGTTAGGGAAAAATGATGAGAGTAATTTTAACGATGCGCGCGCACACCGTCACAAAAAACCGACACCCGGAAGTTAGCTATAGTCAACATTTGTGTTTTTTAGAAGTTACTACTTTTGGCGCGTTAGGAAAAAATATGAGAGTAAATTTTTACGATGCGCGCGGATAACGTCCCAAAAAACCGACATCCGGAAGTTAGCTATAGTCAACATTTGTGTTTTTAGAAGTTACTACTTTTGGCGCGTTAGGAAAAAAATATGAGAGTAAATTTTTACGATGCGCGCGGATAACGTCACAAAAACCGACACCCTGAAGTTAGCTATAGCCAACATTTATGTTTTTTTTAAAGTTACATACTTCCTTTCGCGCGTTAGGGAAAAATGATGAGAGTAATTTTTACGATGCGCGCGCACACCGTCACAAAAAACCGACACCCGGAAGTTAGCTATAGTCAACATTTGTGTTTTTTAGAAGTTACTACTTTTGGCGCGTTAGGAAAAAAATATGAGAGTAAATTTTTACGATGCGCGCGGATAACGTCCCAAAAAACCGACATCCGGAAGTTAGCTATAGTCAACATTTGTGTTTTTAGAAGTTACTACCTTTTTGGCGCGTTAGGAAAAAAATATGAGAGTAAATTTTTACGATGCGCGCGGATAACGTCCCAAAAAACCGACACCCTGAAGTTAGCTATAGCCAACATTTATGTTTTTTTTAAAGTTACATACTTCTTTTGGCGCGATAGGGAAAAATGATGAGAGTAATTTTTACGATGCGCGCGCACACCGTCACAAAAAACCGACACCCGGAAGTTAGCTATAGTCAACATTTGTGTTTTTTTAGAAGTTACTACTTTTGGCGCGTTAGGAAAAAATATGAGAGTAAATTTTTACGATGCGCGCGGAGAACGTCCCAAAAAACCGACATCCGGAAGTTAGCTATAGTGAACATTTGTGTTTTTAGAAGTTACTACTTTTGGCGCGTTAGGAAAAAAATATGAGAGTAAATTTTTACGATGCGCGCGGATAACGTCCCAAAAAACCGACACCCTGAAGTTAGCTATAACCAACATTTATGTTTTTTTTAAAGTTACATACTTCTTTTGGCGCGTTAGGGAAAAATGATGAGAGTAATTTTTACGATGCGCGCGCACACCGTCACAAAAAACCGACACCCGGAAGTTAGCTATAGTCAACATTTGTGTTTTTTTAGAAGTTACTACTTTTGGCGCGTTAGGAAAAAATATGAGAGTAAATTTTTACGATGGGCGCGGATAACGTCACAAAAAACCGACACCCTGAAGTTAGCTATAGCCAACATTTATGTTTTTTTTAAAGTTACATACTTCTTTTGGCGCGTTAGGGACAAATGATGAGAGTAATTTTTACGATACGCGCGCACACCGTCACAAAAAACCGACACCCTGAAGTTAGCTATAGCCAACATTTATGTTTTTTTTTAAAGTTACATACTTCTTATGGCGCGTTAGGGAAAAATGATGAGAGTAAATTTTTACGATGCGCGCGCACACCGTCCAAAAAAAACCGACACCCTGACGTTAGCTATAGCCAACATTTATGTTTTTTTTTAAAGTTACATACTTCTTTTGGCGCGTTAGGGAAAAATGATGAGAGTAAATTTTTACGATGCGCGCGCACACCGTCACAAAAAAACCGACACCCTGAAGTTAGCTATAGCCAACATTTATGTTTTTTTTTAAAGTTACATACTTCTTTTGGCGCGTTAGGGAAAAAATATGAGAGTAAATTTTTACGAAGCGCGCGGATAACGTCACAAAAAACCGACACCCTGAAGTTAGCTATAGTCAACATTTGTGTTTTTTAGAAGTTACATACTTCTTTTGGCGCGTTAGGGAAAAATGATGAGAGTAAATTTTTACCAATCGCGCGCACACCGTCACAAAAACCGACACCCTGAAGTTAGCTATAGTCAACATTTGAGTTTTTTTAGAAGTTACTACTTTTGGCGCGTTAGGAAAAAAATATGAGAGTAAATTTTTACGATGCGCGCGGATAACGTCACAAAAAACCGACACCCTGAAGTTAGCTATAGTCAACATTTGTGTTTTTTAGAAGTTACATATCTTCTTTTGGCGCGTTAGGGGAAAAATGATGAGAGTAAATTTTTACCAATCGCGCGCACACCGTCACAAAAACCGACACCCTGAAGTTAGCTATAGTCAACATTTGTGTTTTTTTAGAAGTTACTACTTTTGGCGCGTTAGGAAAAAATATGAGAGTAAATTTTTACGATGCGCGCGGATAACGTCACAAAAAACCGACACCCTGAAGTTAGCTATAGTCAACATTTGTGTTTTTTAGAAGTTACATACTTCTTTTGGCGCGTTAGGGAAAAATTATGAGAGTAAATTTTTACCAATCGCGCGCACACCGTCACAAAAACCGACACCCTGAAGTTAGCTATAGTCAACATTGTAGTTTTTTTTTACAAACGTAGAATAATTTTTGCAGCTGAGTTTCATCATCGGTCGTCAAGGCAGAATACAAAATACCATCCGTATCACCTCGACGTCCGTCGTAACTGAGCGTTTTTTAAGGTTTTTGCACCACCACTATGTGGAACCAGCTGCCCACTGAAGTATTTATCTATTTATTTACATTTCAACCATTGAAATTATAGTGAAGGATCAATTACATATTTATAGTTAATGATAATTTTTTTATATAGATAAGGGGGCAAACGGGCAGGAGGCTCCACCTTATGTTAAGTGATATCACCGCCCATGGACACTCAATGCCAGGCTGGCGAGTGCTTTGCCGGCCTTTTAAATCTTACTTACGTATCTGATTGTTCTCTCTTTAATGGACTGCATTTTTCCTTGACAGGTAATTTAATTAATGGCGGCGGGCCTCCTGTAATAAAAAAAATATAAAATTCTCGTGTTAGTGTATGTATACTCCTGAAAATCGATTTTTTTTAAATATAAAAGTTCTACCATAAACCCCCACTTAATATCGATATTCGTACTATAATCTTTATATGGCAATACAGCGCTATCAGCTGGTATTTATATAAATGTGTAAAAAATTTATATCTATGTTATCTATTATATTAGGATATCCAATTCTTAACGTATAATAATTCTTTTTTATATTTGCCTCGCGACATTTGTTCCATTTCGTAATTAATAATAAAATAATGGTGCGAAAGCTAATGCACAGATTACCAAAAGTTTAAATGTCATTAACAATGGCGCGATATCTAGCAAAATAGTGATAAACCTCCTTGGTAATAAAACTGTAATATTTTTTTTATGTCTTACAATTCTTTATTATATTTTTCTCGCAACATTCATTCTATTTCGTAATTAATAAAAAAAAACGATGGCGCGAAAGCGAATGCACAGATTACTAAAAGTTTAAATGTCATTGACAATGGCGCGATATCTAACAAAATATTATAAAACCTCCTTGGTTTTATAAATAACGCTTAATTTTTTTTTGAAATGACAGAAACATACCGTTCAAAGTGAATTTCTCTTTCGCCACTTCTACATCATCCAAATGATTCTTGTAACATTTCTCTTCATCATTATTCCTGATAGGAGACTTTCTGTCAAGCGTGGTCTTGTCAATCTTGTCGGGTGTGTGTCTGTCGCGTATTTTGTCATTCTTGTCAGGAAATATGTCAGGGGTGATGCCAGGTACTTTATACACTTCGGGAGATTGTTGCTTCATCTGCGTCGTTGTTACGGCGCCTATAATTTCAAACTCTCCCATATTTATGACACCCTGGTACTTTCTTAGACTAAATTTTACATAAAAAATAAATAAATCAAGTGGCACGACAACCTTGTTAGGTCTGGGCCTCAGATTTCTGTATGATTCAATATAATAAACAAGTAGGTGATCACACACATGCCGTCGTGCACCCAACACGGTACGGTAAAGGCAAGCCGGTTCCCTCACGATGTTTTCCTTCGTACGAGCGAATGTTAAATGCACACATAGATAGTCCATTGGTGCACAGCTGGGGTTCATACTAACTCAGGGATGAGAGTCGCGCTCTGAAGCCACTAAAAACCATTGAACTTATAGTGAAATCTACGATGAGAGATCAGAATTAGAAGATACCTGATGTGCAATCGGGTGGTTCATCTTTATTGTTCCATCGAATATCTGTCAAGCCCTTGATTCGTAACTCTTCAGCTGTTTTTAGGAGACCAGCGAGTTGGGACTGAAAAACCAAACACAAGTAATAACTATTTGAAATTCTAGGTTTCGAATGTCAATAGTCGTCATGGTCTGTGCTTGCACAGAACACATCTATCTACATTCATAATTTGAAAAACCCGCTAAAAATCTAGGAAAGATGGCATCGTCTAGTTATGCCAACTTGGAGGTTTTCCCCCTAAATTAAGGGGGGATATTAGGGGATACTTTGTACAAGATTTTAATTTCTTGAAAAACGTACGATTCTGACGAAATTTATCGAAATAAATGAGGCACAAAACACATTTCTCTATTAAATAATCATAATATGAAGAATCCGCCAAAATCGAGGATCCTTCCCATTAGGTTTATTTATGGCTCTGGCCCGATTTGTGCATTAGCCAGCGTCCAGTATAGGATTTTTTTATAATTCGTGCTTGTCTTTAGAAATTCGACCGTGTCCTCCATGTACGGTTTAAGCACTCGCCCGGTATCGCACAACCCTCCCAAAGGCCGAGAACAAATTTAAATTAAATTAAAATTTGCTCTCGAACCGGGAATCGAACCCGGTACCCCTCACCTAGCTGCCACTTAATAAGACAGTAACAGTAAACCTTCCTTCCTCCACAGATTATATACGTTTTTGTCATATTTTATACGGATTACAATAACACTTAATTTCAATCTGTCAAATTCATACTGTCAATTATTATTAAGCTGAAAAAACATCGAAAAGGGTATAGGACACCGAGAAACTTCTACATGGGAAAATTAGTCTTCTAAACCAGCTGCTCTTCTAGAAATATACTTACATGATGGACGTTCATCTCCCCAGTATACATATAGTCCAATAAGGCCCTCACGTGCTGCGGCTCAGCGCCATCTATAACCAAAACTGGTTCTCCTTGTGCCTCATGCGCTCCTAGTAACGTGCCCAGCAGTTCCGAGCAAGCAGCCAGTACCACCCTAAAAATTAATTTTAGAATAAGTTACTACTACCGCTTTATGCGCTCCTGGTATCACTACTTTCAATGAAACATGAAAAACTTTTTTTTTTTAATTTTCAGTATTCCCGGAGGTAAATATTCCTGAGGTCGTAGGTTCGAACCTCAGCTGTGGATTTTCAAATTGTGCGCATTTAACACTGTGCGATGACGCAATGTTGTAAGGTACTTAAAATATCAGTGGCACTACAACCTTTTTAGGTCTGGGCCTCAGTTGTCTGTGCCTGACACACGCCGTCTATTATTTGGGTCTAAGGCAAGCTGTTTTAACCACGATTGACGATGTTTTCCTTCGTACGATCGAATGTTAAATGCGAACAGACAGTCCATTGGTGCACAGCCGGGGATCGAACCTACGACCTCAGGGATGTGAGTAAAAAAATAGTCACCGTTAGTGACGCTAGTTTCGCTTAGATGACGCAAAATGGCGACAGACAATTAAAAATAAAACGGGTCACGAATTTATAGATTATGAAGTATTATTGCTTACGTAACTTCAACAATATTTTTCTAAATACCTACACACTTGTTACATATCCATTGCACTCCCTTTGCCCCGCATACCCAATATGAGTACCTCTCTTACGCAACCACGTTATATAAGGAAACGGACAACAGAGACCAGCAGCTTTTGATCGGATACCTCATATCGGACCGGTCAATTCTCAACTAGTTATAGTATAAGATCCCGCTATACAACGACCTTCACCGAGATGCTTATTTAATGAAACTTATTTTATATTTAATTTAATATGTCAATAAATATAATCCATATGGGTTGCCTAGCAAATTTCAGTCCAGAGTATGTTTAATTAATATTTAAAAAAAAAATTTTTTTATAATTTGCATGTAGTAAATTTTTTGAACTTTTTTCAATCATTATTTTTAATCAGGGTAGTATTATATATGTATCACTATAACCTTCTTTTATACTAAAGATGTATATATACTTTAGTGTCACATAAAAAAAATACACATAAATAATTAGTTGATTAAAAACAACCTAACGTTTGCATATTCTATGGGCTTCATACGTTCGATTGGTATAGAATTTATCTAATAATCATACCGGTGAAATGTTTTAAAAAAAATTTTTTTTTTTAAATTAATTAAACATACTCTGGACTGAAATTTGCTAGGCAACCCATATGGATTATATTTATTGACATATTAAATTATATATAAAATAAGTTTCCATAAATAAGCATCTCGGTGAAGGTCGTTGTATAGCGGGATCTTAGACCATTAAGTTAATATAGATTATTTGTCGTGCACCTAATATCGGGCCGATTAAATGGTTATATTTAGTTAAGTCTTAATTATTGTAGTGATAATTAAATTAATTAAAATATATTCTGGGTTTTTTGGGGATTCACCGCTGGCCTTCACTTAATACACTAGAATTATTTATACATGGACATAACATTTATTACAAACAAAAATACACAAAATAACAATCAAAGAAAAAAAATGAGAGATCCCGAAAACAAAAAAAAATCCCTTTTCCCATTCGGTTCATCACAAGTGTGTAATGCGTGTGTGTTGTGGCTGTAATTGGCCCTGGCTCAGCATTATGCTAAGGAGCAGACTGTTTCACAGCGGCGGTCATTCTGCCTGAGACCACAACAGTAAGTTTGCGCCTCAGTCACAGAAAAAAGAAAGAAAAAGAATGTAAAAAATTTTTTATTTTTTATTTACACTTCGTTGCAATAAAAATAAAAGTAACACAAATAACACAATACATAAAGATTATAAGAGATGCAACGGGCGGCCTTATCGATAATAAGCGATCTTTCCAGGCAACCCTAGTAAGAGAAAAACTAAAAAAAGAAACATGATTAGTGCGAGAAGTGCAGAACCAAATGTTAAAAAATATAGAACCTTAATCTAAAGTAATACAAAAAAAATAATAACAAACTAAAAACTTAAAAGCTAATCTTACAGATTCGAGAAGGTAACACAAGAATTACACAAGTCACGATTGATCTGGATAGGATAAGGTTAAGAAATGTTTATACAGAAGAGTTTTAAAAGATGATAGAGAGGTACCCACAGGTTCCACAACTTTATGGCAGAGATCCTAAATGAATTGCCTAAGAAGGATGAATTGTGGGATGGAATTTCCAATAAACATCTATTAGAAGAGCGTAATATATACGGACGGACCTAAGAATTTAATAAGTATAAGTAAAAAATCATTTGATCACATAGGTAACATAATGTACACTTATGACTTGTCAGTAAAGAAATACATATTAATGCTACTAATTTTACATTTACTGCCAGTTCTCAAATCAAGGGCGTAGAACGGGAGAGAAGAACTGGCAATAAACTCTCCGCCACTCTTTTTAATCGCCATTTTTTTGTTTTACAAAATGTTTGTAAGGAGCTGCAACCATTACACCATGTCCCATGTGACATTTTAAGTAATTAATAACAATAACATAAATTAAAAACAAAGAGTTGTCCTCTATCAGCAGGAGGCATGGTGAAATAGGATCACGCACTTACATTCTCGTGGGAACAACACGCAAACACATAGTCAAAATAACCAACATTACAATTTAATACTTATTAGAAAAAAAAATTATAATAAAAGTTATCACGGTACCTAATGAAGTCTTGTGTAAAGGAAAATTAATATTTTTTTTTAGATTGGACAATTCACACCAATTGACCTAGTCCCATGCTAAGCTGGTGAAGCTTGTGTTATGGATACTAGGCAACGGATATACATACATATTATACATAGATAGACATATAAATACATATTTAAACACCCAAGACCTAGGCACAACACTAAATGCTCATCACATCGATGTTTGTCTCAGCCGGGGATCGAACCCGGGACCCATGGATCCGCAGTCAGGGGTACTAACCACTACACCAATGAGCCGTCAAATATATATAAAATGTAAATAAAATAAAATTAAAGTTAAAAATAAGAATAATTGTCATTTTTTTAAAACAATGTACATAACTCCTAAAATCCCCGATCACCCACCCAACCACTGATCCTTTGACGCTTCTCGGCCACAGACCGACCTACTATGTAGGGCTACAGAATAAAATAAAATGTATAAAAAAATATAAAAAAAATAATTTAATCAACAAAACCTATTTAATTAAAATGTTATGTTCTTGAAGTTAAATTACGCAAGTAATTAAAATATATTTAAAAATTAAACAATGGTATCTATGCAAGAAATAAATTGCGGTTTTAATATGGCAATAAAATTTTAAAAAATGTAAGCACGTCAAATTTTTCTCTTAATGAGTTAAGTATTGCTGTCATGTAAGCTAAGATATATATTATATCTTTGTAGTTTTAAAAGAAGGAGCCACCACGCTTCTGTTTGAATTAATTAATTAAATTTTTAGGTAATTTTCTTTTAATTTTCTTTATTTTACAAAATAATGTAATACTAGCAAACCGGCCAAGCGTTGTTGTGGCTAAGGTTTTTGTTATATTACATAGTAGTAAACTATTCAAGGGAAACGGTAGAAGAACGCCAGTCATGGGGACCACCATGCTTTTTTGGTGGTTATGCCATTAAATTGTAGCTTATGTGAAACGTTGGTACTTTCAACACAGCGCCATCTGTTAGAATTGTGACTATTAAATAGTTAACTAATATTTTGCAATATAATAATATTGCGGGTATAAATTGAGATGTAAGCTATCCTATCTTTTAAGTTGGATCAAACTACACACGGTGTGCAAATTTGATTGATATCGGTTCGGTAGTTTACGAGTCCATAACGGACAAACAACGTGACACGTAATTTATGTATATTAAGATATATAATCACAATATGTTACATTAGAAAACAGCTGTGGTTTATTGATTGAATTGAATCGAGTAAAGTCAACTTAATCCTATTAAAATATTTACTATTTTTGACGTGACAAGGCCGGCTGGACGCACGAAAAAGTATGACCCATTGTCCTGTTACCGCATGTCCATTGCGCCGCATGTATCTCTCTTCCACTCGATTAGCCTATGCGTCCGATGATTCCTTCTTTGTATCCATACAAAATAGTGATAATGCAATAAAAATGATTCAAATTTATTTATAAAAGTATGCAATCAATTCATCAATGTTTCGTTATGATTATACGTTAAACAATCGTCCGTAAACCGACTTTAGACAAATATTTTTTTGCCGTTCAAGTATTACGTAACGAATTGTTACGTAATAGGTACTTGAACTACTGGGGGGGGGGGTGCCAATAATCTCCGAAAATTGCGTGACGTAATACTTGAACGCTCCCTTATTTGCTAATTACTTTGCAAGAATCCTTCCGCAGATATAGACCAAGGTGAGTTGCATCTATCATATCATAAATGATCCTAATCCTTGGGATTGATTTGCTCCAGTTCAAACAATTTGTATGACAATACTTGGCGATTAAAAAGAGTGGCGGAAAGTTTCTTGCCAGTTCTTACCCGCTCTACGCCCTTGACTTGCGAACTGGTAGTAAATGTAAATTTACAATTAATTTAACTTCTTTCTGACAATTCATTCATTGTTTACCTACATGAATAAAGATATTTTGAGTTTGAGTTGCATCTAACTGGAGCCAGTTTTGGTAATCCGCATTTTACTTTGACTAATGAAATGAAGAATGCTGTCTTAGCTGTAGGTGGGTACAGCCTTAACATTTAAAATCTTTTATAAATGTTTCAAAAACTACAGTAATTTAAAAAAAAGCTTTTTCTTTAGTTATAATTTATTATCTTATAGGTCAATATCATATAAATTGGCACAATTTAATGTATGTCGTAATCGAACGCGGAACTAAAAACTTTTTGATCGATTTTTTTAATTTTATTGTCTAGTTATTCGTTTTATATGAAGTTTAATTATTTTATTGTAATAAGATTTAAAGCCCTTACATGGGTTTTTAATTAAAATTTCCAATCTCCATTATCTATAGTACTTAATCGGTGTTAAAATACTTCCCTGTTGAATATTTGACAGCTTTAAATAAATATTATAAAGAGATGTGATTTTACTTAGCCTACCTTTTTAGTACATACCAACATGGAACATTTTGCTATGCTACTACAGAGAATGTTCAGTTTTCCGGAATGAAAAGTTTTTAGGTTTTCTGTGATTTTTCGCTTAGCTCCTTCTCTATCTTCCTTTAAATTTCTTCTGTACAAACATTACCTGTGCACATCGTATCCCTAACTTTCGTACTAACTGACGTGAGACTGATCTTAAATTAATTTATCGTGATTCATGTGCTTTTTTTCATGTATCCTTTATTAGTTTCGTTTTTTTTCTTAATAACTATATGTAATATATATTTTTGTACTTATTATCTAATTAAATATTTTTTTCTTTTCTCACAATGGTTGCCTGGAAGAGATCGCTCGAAAGCGATAAGGCCGCCAGTTGCATATTCATTTAATTATGTTCAATTGTTATATTGTAATGCACTTCGTTGATAACAAATAAATAATGAAAAGTTATGGACCAACCTGTGAGCCCTGAGAGACACCCCTCGTAGACTCGTCTCCATATCTTTTGACAGTTGTGTAGCGAAGTTAGGCGAGCAGTACAGTGTTACATCGCAGAATCTCTCTGTAAAAAAGATTTGTTTATGGTATTATTTGGCTATAACTGATTGTGTACCATAGATTAACAAAATCGCGTTGGGAGATTATATTTTAATTGCTCAAATTTACAATAATAATAATAATAATAGTCTTTCTTTCTTCTCTCACATATACATACAATGCCGATAGATCGCCAGAATATTTTTACTTGGCCTACCTTTTTAGTAGCTACATACTAATATATGGAACATTTTGCTATACTACCCCATAGAGTCTGTTCGCTATTCAGGAATAAAAAAATATGTTCTTTTGGCGCGTTAGGGAAAAATGATGAGAAAAAATTTTTACGTCACAAAAAACCAACACCCTGAATATCTGTTCAAACGTCGGTAAAACAGGCTGGGCCGCTAGTTAGCGCTTGCTCTGTTTTATCGACAATTTGCATTGTCTGTCATGGCGTAGTGTTTATTTAAACCAAAATAATGATTCTATACGAGAAAACCCGTTCCAATGTCATAAAAACATAGTGTTTATTGTAAAATATCATGATTGGTACATATTATATCGTTATGATTCAAAGTGACCATTAAAATGGACAGAAAAATGCAATTCGAAGTATAACTTTTTATATATATTTTACATATATTACTAAAAAAGTGGACCCCCCCCCGGCGATGCCCTTGTCCGCTACTTTCAATAAACAGGCCATAAATTGCGAAACCTTTTTTGCTAAAAGCAAATCCGAATTTAAATTATGGTAATTATTAAAATTTAACTTTTGCGAAAAAATATCCGTTACTTAGTTTAGTAGTACATTCTGTGTTAACAGTTTCAATTACTTTAATTACTTATCGACTGCGTTAACTCATTTTTGAAGTGAAACTTCTTTAGGCGCATGAGGGTAAATTTTTTACGGATGAATCGCAATAATAATAATAGCGTCACGAAGACGTGCAGCGTTTTTGTCGAAGAAAAGGGAGAGAGCGATTGAGAGTGAATGAGAAGGGCGAATTACCTTATAGAAATTCTATTTTTAAAATTAAAATTTCGTAAAGAGAATTTATGAAATATTAGTATTTTATATTTGATGCAAAATAATTTATTCAAATGACGAATTGTTAATTAAAATGTCACGTGTTTTTATTATCAAAGAAATAAATTAAAAAAATTAAATTTGACAATGACATTAAAAAAAATGACAATTAAATTAAAAGTAAATAAAGAGGGAGAGAGCGATTGATCTGTGGCCGTCTTGTGTCACGTGTTACAGTAAGTCAATATTTTTATTTTTATTTATGGCTTTTTAGATGAATTAATGATTATTTTAAACCGTGTTTTATACGGATTATTCTCAATAACATTTTCCCTTCATAAAACTCTTCACCTGAAAGTGTGAGTATGAGAAAGACAGTGTAGGAACATCTGCTATAGACCAGATCTTTAAAATAAAAATAAAATATGTTTATTATGGAACATAAGGTACATGTATCACTTATTCCACGTCATTAAATTTGAATTTGTAGGCATCCCTACTCATCGGCAAAGAAGACAGAGGGTGTAGGCCGAGAGAAAAAGCCGGCGTAAAAAACTCTCGGTACTCTTTTAAAATATCAAATCATCAAACAATACTTATTTTTAAACAAATATCGCAAATTAATTAGAAGTAGCCTGTCTAGCACTAGTCCTAGGACCTTTTATCAACTTTATAGTAAGCCGTTGACTTTATAGTAAGCCTTTTTACACAGCTTTTCTTTAATACATTTCTTAAATTTATTGAAAGGCAGAGATAAAAGAGCCTTTGGGATTTTATTAAAGGAGAGTATCCCTTTTCCCAAAAAAGAATTACTAACTTTAGATAGTCTAAAGTCTAAGTCGTTCTTTTTGGTAAAAGGGAGATTGCGAGACATTTCGCGTGTTTGATGTGTTCGATATTTATAGATACAGCCTTCAAAATGTATTTTAAGAACGAAACAGGTTTGAAACGGGGTTTGAGGTCGACATTTGAGTTTATTTTTAGTAATGAAAGTATTTTTGGGTATGTGGGTCGAATTGCAAAAGCGATGTTTTTTTCTGCTCTGCTTTGTATTGACATCTACAATTTTAAATCACTGCGATGACGTCACACGTTAAAACGCGGTGACGAAGTATTTCCAACTAAGCATACGAGTATACAGGGTGGCCAAAATGTCGTGGATCAAACGTAAATAGGGGGATAGATGAGGTCATCAGCTGCAAAAAATTGTTCTACGGGAGGTCTCTAAGCTCAACCCCTGCAGAGTAAGAATTTATTTTGCGTTTTTATAAGAAAATTGGCTTTTTTACTAATTCTTATTAAAATTCGAAAAAATCTACATCCTGTATCTTTTTCATAATATCCACTAGATTGGTACTGATGAGTCCTTGCGTTAGACATACTATTTATAGTTGTTTATTGAGTGTATTGAAGATAATATTAAGTAGATAATATACGATATAAAAATTTCTCAAATCATAACTTTTTGTTTACTTCGGGTAAAAGTGACCCTGTATTAAGTTTTGGCGCATTTAGACGTTTTGACAGATATTCAGGGTGTCGGTTTTTTGTGACGGTGCCCTTGCGCATCGTAAAAATTTACTCCCATCATTTTCCCCTAATGCGCCAAAAAAATTATTCAAAAATATTTACTAAAGCAATCACATCATGCGAAATAAAGTATTTACGAGTACTTTATTGTTCGTTTAAAGTTGGTACACTTACCTGAAACAAAGTATTGTACGTACGTATTTATCGTATACGTACGTGTTTATCGTATACGTACGTGTTTATCGTATACGTACGTATTTATCGTATACGTACGTGTTTATCGTATACGTACGTATTTATCGTATACGTACGTGTTTATCGTATACGTACGTATTAATAAAGTACGGTTGGCAAACCTAAACGTTGAGTTGAGCTTTCAACGAATAATTATCGCAATGCGAGGAAATGCCAGTATTAAAGGTACACAGGGACAATTTTTTTAAATATTTGATTTAATTTAAAATCATTATTATTACTATGTAGGTTAAGAATATTATAAATACTGTATATATGTGTCATCGAATAGATCTTTAGAGAAAACTAAATAAATACATTTAATTCCCATCATATTATATTGCATGGCGGCAAGGTCACCACAGGCTATACAATACGTATAGAATATCCATTGACAAAATCTCTTTGTACTCTATGCCCTAATTTAAATTACGCGCCTTTTAAATGTGTAGTTTTTATATCCTCTGTTTCTACTATGTGACATAGTACAATTATTGACTTCTATATTTAAAATTATTTTTCAATGTCCATTCGTCACAACACAAAGTTAAGAGAACAGAGCATAGACAATTGAATTTGAACATCGAGTTGCAATTATTGTCTTCCATATTTAAAATAATATTTAAATGTGACCCGTTACGACACAGAGTTTAGAGAACAGAGCATAGACAATAGAAATTGAACTTCGAGTTGCAATTATTGTCTTCCATATTTAAATGTGTTCTACTCGTCACGTCACAGAGTTTAGAGACAATACATATTAAATTACGAAAATTTAAAATTTCTTAATATAAATAGTATTTACTTTGAAACCAAGAATTGTATGTATCCTTAAGACCCTCTCCAAAGCCTTCAGGCGATCATATGATAGGTTCTTTACCCAGCTGTATCAATAAACACAGACAGAAATACTAGAACAAGTATGGGTATACCTTTTTCAAGCAATTGCGCGAACATGCTCTGGACATTGGAGTGGTGGTGTTTCCACCTAAGGCAGTATTGTTGCGGCGTCATATTGCTTCTTGGAATGTGGTTCGGTGGATCTGAAAACATTTAATTGTCTTAAAGTATTATTCGTTTCATTAATTTTCTTAAAATATTATTCGTTTTATTAATTGTCTTAAAATATTATTCGTTTAATTAATAGTCTTAAAGTATTATTCGTTTCATTAATATCTCAACAGATTCTTTTTGAATTTTTATGAGAGAACGATGAAGATCCTGAATGTCATAGACCTGAGAAGTAACATAGATAAAGACACGTCTATACTACAAAATTCAAAAATGGAATTTGAGGATTGTATCCACAGATAAACATTTTCGAAGGGGCATAGACTATATATTGGTTATAGAATCTACACTTCTAACTTTGTAAGTTCAAATTAAATATTATAATTTTATCAGCTACCAAGATGGCGTCGCACCAAGTCTAGTATTTAACGTATCGTTCTTAAATTAGACAAATATTCGATCATAATCATCCGACGAAATTAAACTTCACGATATTAGGATTAGACAGACATTATTTACGTGCAAACGATAAGATTCGTTTAATCTGTGGACGTTTTGTGTCACGTGACTGACGTATGTCAATATTTTTATTTTATTAATAAACTAGCAGATACAGCCAAGCGTTGCTGTGGCTAAATTTTTTGTTGTAATACATAGTAGTATACTATTCAAGGAAAACGGTAGGAGAACACCAGTCATGGGGACCACCATGCTTTTTTGGTGGTTATGCCATTAAAAGCTTATGTGAAACGTTGGTACTTTCAACACAGCGCCATCTGTTAGAATTGTGACTGTCAAATAATAAACAATATTGCGGGTATAAATTAAGATGTAAGCTAACCTATCTTTAAAGTTGGATCAAACTACACACGGTGTGCAAATTGATTGATATCGGTTAAGTAGTTTAGCAGTCCATAGCGGACAAACAACGTGACACGTAATTTATATAGAGTGACAGTTTCCAACTGAACATATATTACACAATTGTCGAAAACCTAAAATTGAAACAGAATTTCGAAAATTGATAACAAAAGTCATGGGTTCATATTTTATCATGTTTGTTTATCTTTACACACTGCGATGGACTAAAAACTACAAAAATTTAATCTTCTTACATCTTTTAATGTATTTTATAAGGTATATGTAAATACAGACTAAAGCTCGATTTGAATTGTGAATACTGTTAATAATCAAACACTAAAGAGATTGTATAAATTATATGAATGTTACTGGCTGTTAATATTATGAATAGAAAAAAAAAGTTACTGTCAATGGAAAAACGCGCGAAACACATTCTTCCTACTGTTTATTGCAATACATATAATGTAGCTCGATTTGAATTTGGAATACTGTTAATAATCAACCACCAAAGAAATTTATTGCAAAATTATGTAAATGTTACTGGCTGTTAAAATTATGAATAAAAAAGTTATTTTCAATTAAAAAACCCGCTAAACGTTCCACTGTTACCAGTTTAAAAATTATATCTGTCTCGAGTGTTAACGTAAATACTTCATAGTGGGATTAAAAAATTGTCTTAAAGAAAATTTATCCCTTAAAATAATAGAACCTCTTGCTTCTTCTCTCGATTTGAATTTGGAATACTTAATTAATCTTACGATCACCAAAAGGATTTATTGCTGTAGATATTGTATAGATGACTGTCAAAATAGTCAAAGAATGAATAACACACACAACACAGCCTTTAGCCACATATTTTGCCATTTTATTTATATTACAAGAAGACTTTTATTAATTGTATTAAATAAATAGGGGAGCGTTCAAGTATTACGTCCCCCCGTGTAACGCGCCGTAACGTTTTTCTGTACCCACTAGTAAAACGTTTCGTGACCACCCAGTGACTCTTTAAACCTAAAAGTTACCATGTGGTGTAAAGTACTGGAAAGTCGAAAAAAACAATAACGCGTAATTCAATCCCCGCCCCGCATCGTAACGTTTTACAAATGGACCCCCCTCCCAAAATTCGTTACGTAATACTTGAACGCTCCCTTAGACATATTCTAGTAGTTTTCCATTCATTCTTAAAATATTAAACATAACAAACAAATTTTAGATATGCATAGTGTGTAATCATTGTTTGTGCTGATAGGTTATCAGACGTTTTGAATGTTTTTGAACGACCCGTCGTTTTGGAACGCATTTTGAATTTACTTTCATTTTAACAAACTCCCAGTATTCTGTAAGTTTACGCCCGAACCCAATAATTAATCCACATTCGTGACAGTCGATCGATCTCCTATCTGCATCCCAATAACCAAACTCTACGAAGACCCATTTTTGGCGACGGATAAAATGCTCTTTGTCGTTCCATTTTACCGAAATTTCACTCATATTTAATAATCAATCTAAACCAAATAAAGTAAATAAAACCGTACAAATAACATTAAAATATACATGTGTATGTTTAAAACATAACAAACAGTTTTTTTAATTATTTAAAAAACTGGTGTAAGTCAAAATCTGTTAAAATAATTAACTGTTGAAATCGAGCTTTCGTCAACTGTCATTTTCATACAAAGGTCTATCCACAGACACCGATACGACCTCCCATGGATAGCTTGTATCGACAGATGGCTATTTCAATCCGTCGATTGGTTATTGGCACACTTGTTACAACTTTTGGATTAAGATTACTATCTCAGATGGAGGATTACGGATTGAGATATGTTATTGGGTTCGGGAGTAAGTCAGCAGACTCACTAGCTACTGCGCCATAGTTCATTAATCGAATATTAAATTATTTAAAGAGATAAATTAACAAAAACAATTTAAAATTATATGTAATTTGACACATTGACAAGTTGACAGTTAACAAACACATCTGTCAATGTGGCTGTTGACGGAACAGGTTTTATTGGGTGAATTTAGTAATAAACATTTTAAATCTATACCAATACAAAAAGTAACAATGTAATTTTTTTTTTTATAGAGCAGGTGGCAAACGGGCAGGACGCTCATGGACAATGCCATAGGGATCGCGAGTGCTTGCCGGCCTATTAAGAATTGGTACGCTCTTTTCTTGAAGGACCCTAAGTCGAAATGGTTCGGAAATATATACCGCCCTTGGAGACTCCAGAGGAGATTACCAGAGTGCGAGGGCGAGTGCGTTGCCGGCCTTTTAAGAATTGGTACGTTCTTTGAAAGACTAAGTCGAATTAGTAGACCCTGATGATGCGGTGTATGCGTATGGAAATGTCATAGAAGAGACCCCTAAGAAAGAATGGGCCCACTGCTTCTCTCAGTGGTTCCATCGAATGCGACGATGTGTAGAGAGGAACGGAGATTACTTCGAAAAACAATAAAAGTATTAGAAAAACAATTTTTTAACGGATTTGAAGTTATGTTTTATTATAAATTTACAATTATAGACGACTCATTGGTCTAGCGGTTAGTACCCCTGACTGCGAATCCATGGGTCCCGGGTTCGATCCCCGGCTGAGACGAACATCGATGAGATGAGCATTTGGTGTTGTGCTTAGGTCTTGGGTGTTTAAATATGTATTTATATGTCTATCTATCTATAATATGTATGTATATCCGTTGCCTAGTACCCATAACACAAGCTTCGCCAGCTTAGCATGGGACTAGGTCAATTGGTGTGAATTGTGTAAAAAAAAAACAATTATTTTTCATAATTTTAAATTTAACCGACGTTTCGCGGGCTTTACAGCGTGCGTGGTCACGGTGACTGAAGACAAAAGGTGTTGGATGTCAAAAAGTATCACAGCTGTAGAAAAAGTTGTCTTATCTGTATTTATTTCCCCGGAGTTGGTATCGACTAAAAGATGGAGGGTTTTGGCAGTAATGGCTCACTGTGTCCTCTATTTTCGCGGATTGTAATAAAAGTATTGGCAACTTTCATTAAGCCGTTTTTCATTTTCTAAACATTTTCAGTGTTACCTAGGTATATAGGTCGGTTATCGAAAGCTGGCGCGTTCACAGTACTCACACTAATGCAATTTCATTATACAGTATGTTTAAAAATATGACTCTTTTTTGCCAAGCTATATATTTTAGTCTACTCTGGTTTTAGTAAGGTTGGGTGGGTTGTAAATAAATAAAAATGTGTCAAATACATATAAATATTATGTGCATACGATGGTGGATCCAAAAGTTCTAAGCCCGACCAAGAACGTAAAAGAGTAGTTTGTGTAAATATTTTTTCATTTTTCGACATAAGCTCCATCTAGCTCAACACACTTCACTCTTACTTCACAAACAATTCTTTCAATACTCCTCTTAGAAACCCCAGTCGCATCTGATGTCAAATTAAATATAACATTTTTTCATTAAACTGTTTTTATTAAGATGCTTAAAATAATTAAAACATTGAGCACCATTTCACGAGATTTAATATGCGTTTCATTCACCGAAATTATCTTGAATAGCGTGTATTAGATTATTACATAGTACATAGTTAATTTTCTAAACATACTAGTGGACCCCACAGACGTTGTCCTGCATGATATTTAAAGCGATTAGGATATTAAGCAAAGTATGAAAGTACCGACTGCAGTGCCATCTGCCGGGCTGATTTGTGAATCTAAACCATTCCCAGATCCCCTTGAACACACACAAAAAATTTCATCAAAATCGGTCCAGTCGTTTGAGAGAAGTTCAGTGACATACACACTCACAGAAGAATTATATATATAAAGATATAATTATATTTAAATGACAGTAGTCTAATCGTCTTGAATTATCGTTCTTTTAATTGTTACGATTCGATGAATCTCCATTCATCAGAGTTAGGGCTGTAAGAATTGTATTTATTTATTTTCGTGCCGTGTAGAAATTACGGTGTAAAATTAAACAAAAAAAGCATTTCTATTTAATTACTATCGTACGGTACCGCACAACCCTCCCAAAGGGATAACAAATTTAAATTAAATCTTGCCCCTCAAACGGGGGATCGAACCCGGTACCCCTCACCTAGCTGCCACTTAATAAGACCGCTAGGCTATGAGGCCCCCCAATTACTA